TGTATTGTCTCAGTGTGAGAAACTGAAAGAGGAAGCAAGAGTCAACGTATACAACAGATATTGTGACTAGGCAAGAAATTGTCCAAAGGAAAACAAAAACTGGGAGAAAGTGAAAAGAAAAGAAGGGAAAGAAAAAATACATATATAACACAAGATAGCTAAGATAGTTATACAGCCAGTTTTTCTTAGTTCATTGAATAGATTGTGCTAATACTTCTTTGGACAATATTTCATGCCTATATTTTGTACTCTGAACAACTACCATAAATATAACAATATGCAATGTATTATTTTTGCTGTCCTACTATCCTGTTTTGAAGCTCCATTTCATTGTTATTCTTTCACCTGTTTAAATTTTTTTAATAATATTGAGAAATAATGAGACAGTTTCAAAACCGATTAATTAGACAGTTTCAATAATTAATACATTGCATACTGTTGTCTTCTTAGTGGTTATTCATAGTACAAGATGCAGACATGATATCCTGTCCACAAACACTATTAGTACAAATCTTTCTATTCACTGAATTAAGAGAAAGAAGCTGTATATCTATCCTATTTTGAATATACTGTTTAATATTTTTTTAAAAGAAACATTCCTTAGTGGGATCTTGATACTAGCTCTGAACCATTTATGAAAATTTCCTAAGAGATTATGATTCTAAAAAAAAGTTTTTATCAGTTTGTGGCTACTCTTTAAACTTGATGGCTTTAAGCCAAAAGGAGCCTAATGATAAAATTTTTCTAGGTTTTATAGCTCAGATCTATTGTATCAGGTGAGAAATTTTCCTAAGAAGCATCCAATCTAGATTATACAAGCTTGGGGCCCTTCTGAGGCCACATCAAATTGTGCGTGTAAAGACCTTCTAGGATTTGAAATTCTGGTATGTGTATGAATTCTCAAATGTTCCCTATATACAACTGGCCTCCTCCCTACAGTTTTACCAGGCTATAAGCCACTCTGAGTACATCACTCTAAAGGGCTCTGGTTACAGTTTCTCAGGCTCTTTTGTGGGTAGAATCTCTGTCACTCATTGTGGTAGGTAAATACAGTATTAGGGTCGGAGCATACAAAACTATGGATGTTAGACTATTTACAATGTATTTATTTTTTGGGAATTGGAAATAAAACTGAAGACCTTGCACTTGCCAGACTATTTACAAAATCCTCAATACCATGTAGCTAAACCTATCAACATACTGCGCTTGTAGTCTTCCTTCCCTCCCAGAATGCTTCTTCAGAAACTTTGTCTGTGAGATATTTCAAATGCTGAAAGTAAATGCATTTTCTGCATCTCGTCCTTCAAGATTCTTAAATGGCCATAAAATTCCAGGTGTTAGGAGCACTTCTATAGACAGTCCGAAAGGTGCAGAGATTGGTCTTGACATAGCGAAGCTCCTCCTGCGCCCCAGATAAGTGCACTCCAGGGCTGTCTGCTCTTAAGCAGGGGACAATCATAGGCAGTTTTGAGGATCTGAAGATCACATTAAGCTTGTGGTTCTCAGAACTTCTGAGCTTGTATATAGTCCTTTTCCAGATTTTAGGAGGACACTTTAAGTCTTGCCGAGTTTGCAAATGTCAGCAGAGCCCAGCCTGTCCCTGTCATTACTGTTCATTTTTATTGTAGGTAAAGGAACACAAAGGCCCAGGCTTGCCAAATGCCAAGGCTGTCTAGGCTCAGGTACATTCTGCCTCTGCTATCTTTCCTTCCTAAGTCAAGGAACTCTTCTTTGGTGCTTTGATCACCTCCTCCCTGGTAAGTTATAGACACCTTACAAATTTTTTTATGTGCAAAAAAGGACACAGCCATCCTCATAGTATCCCATGTATCTCAAGAAGGCCTGATGATAATAATCATAGTGGTAATAACCATCCTATTGTGTTGTGCAGAGAAATCCCAATTATTTCTCTTTGCCTGGGCATTTACAGAAGAGCTACGATAATGCAAGTATCTGCAGCTTGTTCAGCAGCCCCCTCTTACCTCAGTTATATACCTTTTGGATTCAACACTTAGAGCTGTATTAAGAAAATTACATCAGATTTTAGTATGTTTTTGCCATTTCAGAGGCAATGTATATGTTAATGAGATCAGTAATCTAGAAAGAACATAGCAAAATGAACAAAACACACCGACTGTCATTTATTAATACAAATTTATATAGTGGCATATGCTAGTGGAGAAATCATAAACTCATAACACATAAATTTACATTGGAAATACAAAAATTATTTGAGGGTCAAGAAATCAGGTGGACAGCACCACAACAGTGTTCCTCAGTCTGCAGGACTGTAGCATCCAGGAATACAAATTCCTGTGCAAGACTGAGACCAAAAATTATAAGACTGTGCAAACACATTCCAACCCCATTTCCCATCCAACAACAAGCACCCGCAGGAATCTTCTAGGAGGCCTGGGGACAATAAAAAGGCAGCAAGGCAGAAAAATGGTGCTGGCCATTATTTCTTTTAACCTTCACAGCCGGAGTAAGATAGCAAGTAGCACCCCTGAGGGCTTTTGTCCTTCTCACCTGAAGGCATGATACAAAAGTTAGTAACAAACGCACACACACACATATACACACACAAAGGCATTAGTGAGCGAGTCAGGGAAACTGAAAGGAAAGCTTTCAATAAAAGAGAATCTACTTTAGTCATCTAAGGATCTGACCCCGAAGATGAAGCCTGACATGTAAATGCTCTACACTGAGCAGGTAAACCTCAGTCCCACATCAGCAACACTTTCTATTTCATAAGTGGGCATGTGCTGGAGAAGTGCTGGCTTTCTGGAAAGCAGATGCAGTGGGCACAAAGCAGCAGGACGAGAGCCAAGAGCAGCGCCATGGCTCTCCTTGCACCAGGAGCTCACCATCTCCAGCTCTTCCCTGGGTGTTGGCCTTGTCATTTCAGACCTGTACAAGGAGTGGCAGGTACACTCCCAGGTCTGTCACCATCCCTGTGCTCGGTTTCTTCTGCCCCCTGCTTGCCCCCTCCCATGTGTGGGTCCTACTGAGTGGAAGGGGGTACAAGGAGAAGAGACCTGAGCCAGTGGGCAGGCGCTGCTTTCCTGTGGAAGCACTCTGGCCCTCGCGATATTTAACAGGGCCCAGAGGAAAGACGCTCTGCCGATGTCAGGCCCCTTGTCCAAGCAGCATCAGCATTCACCCTCTGGAATGTCAAGGCTGCAGCCTTGAGTGTCTCCTGCCGCCCAAGCTGGTCTGAAGTAGCACCTGACCCCTCGGGCATTTCTGGGCTCGTCTCCTGAACACTCTCCTCATTCTAGGATGCGAAATCTGACTATCCCCCAGATCTCCTCTTCAAGGTGCCAATTCAAGCCCTCCCTCCTGCTAATAAATTACTGCAACTTTCCTCTCCATTCCGCCCTGAAGCCTACTGCTAGAGTCATGCCTGTGTAAAGTGATGATTCTCTACCTCATTGGAGGTTATTTTATACTTCAAATACAACTGCGACTTTTCCTCTACTTACTCTTGTAACATCACCATAGACTTTTGCCTCTTGTTCCTAAACTTATTCTGCTATTGCTCTATCACCCATAACAAAATTCATCCACACACCTCACAGATGTTCTGGGGAGCCTGTTATGCACAAGGCACTGCTTCAGCAGGGGTTCGTGCAGCCCCTGCTCTCAAGGAGTGCGGCAGACATGTGTGCACCTTTGCGTGGCTCATGCTTTCTAGCGTGTAGTACCAACGTGTGACCAGTTTGGGGTGTTCTCAAGGAGCTTGAGTCATTCTAGCAAATATTACTGAAGGCTGCTATTTGCTCAGTGATTACGGCGCACCATGCATCAGGGAGAGTACCTATCTTTTATTCCTGATTAATGGGACTGTGCCCTCAGTTCAAAACATCATGATATGCATGCATATGTTTTTGCCAATAAGGCAGAAATGAAAAACAAACAAGGGCAAGATGTGTGCACATTACACACAGTACAGACAAGTGGCTATTTGGATACTAAAGTATTTTAGAGCCATGTGTTTATGGTCTTGTCATGTGCTGATATGGTAAAAAGTGCCCGAGCTACCAGAAAAGAACCCCTGTTCAAAGAGAAATTTCCCAAACACCGCACCAGGGACAGTACCTGGAGCTGCGCGTGACACACAGCAAGGAGGACCAGTATGCATTCGTCACGTCTGAGTTCATTCTGACTTGGGCTCTCTCTTATTTTGCTTTATTCAAATGAATCACTTACTTTCTTGAAACACTGACAAATTAAAAAATCCACAGCCATCAAAGCACCTGGGCTTGTCTATCACTGGATTGGGAAAAACCTGGGGCAGCAGGAAGCAGCGATCTCGCTCAGCAGCGCCCTTCCTCAGGGCAGGTCGCCCCTCGTCCAGCTTTCAGTCCTCCCTCTTTGTAGGTATATGAGGGGAGGCACCTGAGTCTGCGGTGCTCCCTGGGTGGAAAGGGCTCTAGGAAAGCAAAGTAGGCTTAGAGGCCATGGCACGTAGCCCATCAAGTGGGAACAACATGCAAATATTTCTGTTGTGCTGATTAGCAGAATTTTTAATGGATCTGGGTGTCTGCAATTTGTACCCTGTTGTTTAGTTGTCCAAAAAGAGCCTGAGTAGGAGAAAGTTGGGGGCAGGGGAAGAAAACACCCCCATACCCACTCACTTTCTTGGAGACCTGCCATGATCCGGTCCCAGTCCTCTGTGTCTGCTAATCTGACTGCCCAGCACCTGTCCTAATATGAAACTCCTCATTGCCTAAGAGCAGCCCTACGGAGGAGCTCTTCGCTGCTACTGAAACCTTAAAGGGACCCATGGAAATAACCACTCTAGAACTCTGGGAGGGGCCTCAGTCGTTCTTTGTTTTACGAGGTAGCTCAGTTGTGAGTCGATGCATGTGATGTGTGCTGTCAGCCACTCAAAGCTTTAGTTTTCCCTTTTTCATCTGCAAGATTATAAAAATACCAGTATTTCCCCCCATTTTATAAAAATGATTTTAGAAAAAATAACACATGGGTCTCCTCCATTAAACTTCTGTTCCATCCTGTAAGTTGTTGTGGACTCTGACTTCCAGATTCAATTTTTTTACTTTAGCACCTTTGAACATATAGGCCCCATCGGTGTCGCTCAGGATGTTGACGTTCCGCACGGTGCAGTACTGTCTGTTCACGTTCTTCTCCACCCTGTCTGGTGTCCTCTTGGATACATCCGCCTTGGTATTTAAAGGGTACTCCTCTAGAATGTGCACTGTAGGCTGCTTCTTCTTCTGTTTCTGGCACTTTCTGGTGATGAAACAAACCACCAAAAATACCAGAAGTAGAAGCATGACAGCTGCCAAGGCGCTGCCCACAGAGGCGCCAGTTTGGGACAGAGAGGCAGCTATGATTGGCTCTTGCATCTCCAGGTGCAGGGACTTCATATTGGTGCCATTTTTTACTTGGTCTCCTTCATTGTCATAAATGAGGGAATCGTCAAGCGTCAGCTGGCCACTGGGGTCTATCAGGTCCCTTGGATGGCGCCTTAATGGGGATGTGAGAGAACGCTGGACCCGCGGCCCTGGGATGGTATCAGGGCCAATGATGTAGATCACCTGGAGATACCACTGGTGTCCTGCTTCCACCTGCAGGAGGAGAGAGACAGGGAGACACAGTGCAGCTGCTGCTGCTGCTATAGATGACTTTCAGAAAGGAAATGTGAGGGACACCCCCACCATATGCCTCAATGGAGAAGTGCCTTTAAGAAAAAGCACTGGCAGTGGTTGAGGTCTCATAACACATAGTAAAGCCACCACATATTTTGAGTTTTATTTTATTCCCAAATTGGGGTGACTCACATTCTTTTTTGATTTTCTATCTATGCATGAAATCACCTAAGAATTTATTTTTCATGGTCTCTTTCAGGGAAGCACTTATTCCACTGAGCCATCTCCCCAGCCCCTCATGGTCTCTTCCAATAAGTGAATGCTTATGATTTGTTGGTCTTTATTAAAAGCAGTGGTTCATTTTTTTATTTTTATTTTTGTGGTACGAGGGCTCGAACTCAGGACTGACGCTTGCCAAGCAAGCACTTATTCCACTGAGCTATCTCCCCAGCCTAAGACCAGTAGTTTATTAATAGCATTAGTTACATTTATTCCCAGGGAGCTCAATTGTTTGTTATATTGATTTGGTATTTACTACAACTAGAATGGACTTGTTCAATGAATCAACAACTGCTCTGTGTGTCATATTTAGATTCTTGGCAAAAAGTGGTCAAATCCCAATATTTCTTGGATCCTCCTCTGAGAGGTTAGGTCAAGATGTGTTTTATTTCTCTCTCCTCTGCCTCCATTGAAATATTCCATGGCTTTAAGATAACTTCTGAAGAGTAGTAGCTTTAAAAGTCATAGATTACTGCTTATAGACAGAAAAAAAAGTGAAATTTGATCTTTGAAGTTTATGATTGCTGCTGGAAGTTAAGAGTATTTCTGCTTGTCTAATACTAATAATTACTGCTACTTTAAACTGCTGTAGCAATTTGTCATCTTGTTTATTATTTTCCATATGCTGATAAAAATCAGGTGGCTTAGTATAGGCAATTTGACAGAATTTAGGAAAAATTAGCATATCATATACAACCCTGGTGAACATAAAGCTAGGAACTACACGCAAATTAAAGAGTTTTACCTTTCATTTGATCTACTGGGGAGAGAGATAGTGAAAGTCTTAGGTGAATGATAAACTTAAAAACAATACAAAAGGATCTGCCAGCAAGAATGCTGTGTATGAAAAGACACCTGACTTTCCTGGAGACATGCTGTGATCCTTTTTTTCTCCAGCTTTAAAGTAGACTTAGTTCTAAGCTTCTCTTTTTTGCCCCAAACTCACCTTATAGAGAGCATCCACTTTCAGAGTAAATCCATCCACGCCTGGCATGCTACTGACCACGTGGAAATCAGGCAACTCAGAAGCGAAGTGGGCCTCGAAAGGCACGTCATGGAAGTATTTATCTGTGACCTCTGGCTGACTGCGGTCCTACAGTTTCCAAAAAAAGAAATGGAAGATTTTGAAAGACAGAACTACCACATCGGTAGGTTCAGTGACTGGGAGGGGAAAGGCAGTCTCTACGCCTGCTCTGGGTTGGGTCAGGGAATAAAGCCGCCTCAAGTCTCTGTTGTCTGTGGGCACCCATTGTCTTCTTTAAGGAGGACTCCAAATCCTTTTGTATCATTTTTAAGCTTATCATTCACCTAAGACTTTCATGCTGTGACCGTCATCGCTTGAACCAAACATTCTGAAGCCTTTTGGTCTCAGGACACTTTATGTGCCTAAAAATCAATGTCTGCTGAGCTTTTGTTTATGTCATTTTCATCTATCAATATTTATAATGCTAAAAATTAAATCTGATAAAAAATACTTATGTATTAATTCAGTCTAGAATAATGACTAAAAATTCATTACATGTTAATCTAAGTAAGATTTTTTTTTTAGTAAAAATACCTATATCTACCCCCTAACACCCCCATGAGAGCTTGCATATGATTTTGAGTTTTATGATTTTGCAAATTACCAAAAGAGAACTGGGATTCTCCTAACTGCTTCTGGATTTAATCAATGGTGGTATGTTCAACTCTTGTCTCAGATAACTGTGTGGCTGGAAGAAAGGAATGAGTCTTTTAGACAACTGTGGCTATTTTAGACAACTGTGGCTATTTTAATATATGAAAACAATGTGGATTCTGACATCCTGTGAGACAGTCATGCTGTTCCACGGAGGAAGAAATGTGTGTGCAAAGGCAGGTGTCTTGTAGATCTACGAAAGCAATTTTGTCCTTGTGGGCTTCGCAGACAAGGGTCAGGGAAACTAAGGGTCTCTGGACCATATTTGGAGAACTAGTGGCATAGCTTCCCCTTCCTGGAACATCAGTGTACTGGCTGATACATTGTGTCAACTTGAGAGGATTAGAAGTTTAATTTTGGGTGTCAAGTATTTTGTCGCAGTGAGTAAAAAGTAACCCAGATTCAACCACCATAACCATCATATTTGGTAATGTGTACTAGTATTTAGCTGACCAGAGAGTTAAGATAAAACAGAAACTGTATATAAAAACCCCAAGAGCAGGGCTCTTTCAGCAGGATTGGGCTGTGGGTGTCCTCTCAGGCATCTGGTCCCAGTACCAGCAGGGAGCTTACCAGCAGCAGGGAGCTTACCAGCAGCAGGAACCTGTGCTTCAGGTGTTTATTGGGCTGAATGCACCCATACTGCGGCCCTTCATTGTAGATTGTCCCTGTAGGATCAAAGAAAGGCACGTAGCCATCCTTCCCAGTGCAAAGGTAGACCTTCTCCAGCTGGAGTTTGTACGCAGAGTTCAGGTTTTGCTCTGGATTCCAAAGTACTCGGCCATAAAGGATTTGACCTGAAGATACAGACAGGCAGGCATTAACTGGGTCGCCTAGGCCCCTTGAGCATGCTTTTCAGATGAAAGAAGAGACTCAGCATAAGATTAAAGAAAGAAAGAGGCAGAAGGGATACTTGAGCAAAGGAAGACTGACAGTTGATAGATTCATTTATTCCCTTAGCAACTATTTTTTGAGCCCCTGGGGATGGTGCTCCATTGTGCAAATTTGATATCTGGTCAAGTCTGTCTTCTCATGGAACTCAGTGGTTGAGCGAGGCCCTAAAGAAATGCATAATAACAATATACTGCATTAGATAATATTTTCAAAATGTGATGAGTATTGTATATAATGAACAACATTCTGCAAAAGTGAAAAACACACAACCTGTGTGTGCTTGTCCAGGGAGGGTTGGGAAGGCTTAGTTCAGAGAAGCACTTCAAGAGTGCTAGCCTATGAGAAGGCCCAAGGAAGCACACTTACTGGCACAAGGGCATGAGTACATATGGCCGGCATCCTGTAAGACTGGGAACAGTGGGGAGGCACCGAGAGACACGGCAACTCACACTCACTTACACTGTGCTAGAGCTAGACTGGACAGGTCACCTCTACACCATCTAGGAAAGTGGTGGCAAGCCTTTTAGGATCAAGTGCCCAAACTGCAACCCAGAATCCACTTCTTTATCTCAAAGTCAACACTTAAACCTGAATGCTGAGTTTTAGTTTTAGAAAACCCAAAACCTACTCATACATTAACATCTTTTGTCTTAAAAGAAAACAATTGACCTGTGCACCATAGGTTTGCCACTACTGACCTAGGCCTTGGTTTTCCATGGTACTATGCTGCCAACCATTTTTATGGAACAATGAAAGTGGTGCCACTTTATAGCTAGAAGGAAGAATCCGTGCCTGACCTTGCTTCAGCCTTAGCCCTGTGGATCTGGCCTGGGGGACCTTCACTGTGGAGCTGAGTGAGGGCTGAAGAGCAAGCAGAGATGGCAGTCGAGAGATCGAGTAGAGAGAGACTCATTGCCAGGCAGAGCCCCTCTGCAAGTGGAAAAAGCAACTCACCTTTTGAAAAGGCTCCTTTGTAATCCATTTCTGCCAGAGACATATCAGATGTGTTGGGGTCCATTAGGAACACCTTCTCATTGTTGTAGAGCTGGAATTCAGTATTGAGTGAGTACACCATGGGCACAGGGCGGTTGGTCTGCTGGAAGGCGATGGGGATCAGGAACCTAGTGCAAGAGGAGGAACAAGGCTGCTTCAGAGTAAACCACCTTGCACACATCAGCAAGCTGGGCTCCCTTTTCAAGACTATGCTCACAGTTTTGTGGTCAGCACATGATATTTACTAGGCAAAGGGCTGGGTGTGGTGGGCCCTTCCTGTAATCTAATCCCCACACTCAGGAGGCTGAGGCAGGAGTATCACAAGTTTGAGGCCAACCTACAGTGTATTTAAAGCTGGACTCCATAGTGAGATCATGCTCCAAGCAAATAGATATATGTGGGAGAGAGACTTTATTTGACTTCTTGTGAACTTGACCACAAACAACTCAGTGAGCCCTTAGAGCTCTTCGGTACGCTTAGCTTTTCTCACCCTTTTGTTCTGAGGGCCCCAGAGTTGCTCTTTATCTGTTAAAGGGCTCCTTGTCACCACACACAGCTCAGCTTCTCACAAGGTCCATGTACTCTGCAACTTTGACTCTTCCAACCTGATCAGTACTTATTTTATGTCACACTTTTCAGGATGTTGCTATGTTCTCCTGCTCTGGCCTTTCCTCCTCCTCCTCTGTCCTATTTCTGTTTCCTCTGGCAACGAGGACACCTCAGGGCTCAGTCCTGTGGCCCCCTACTGTTTCCCCTGGTGTGCATGGGCCACTTGAAGGTAAGGAGGCTGTGCTCTACTCTAGATTTTCAATCTGAGCCAGAAACACAGCTCTACTGCCAATGGATCACTGGACTCAGGCTCTGGCTGTCTCAAAGACACCTTCAACCCAGCGTGCCTTCCCCACACACTTGTTCTTCCTTCTCCTGTTTTAGTCCCAGTGAGGACCCACACAGGGGGTGTAGCTCCCCCTGCCTAGCCATTCTGGGGCCACTATTGCCTTCTAATCTCTTCCATAGGATATGAGTAATGAGCCAGCATAATTTTTTAAATTTCAGATTTGATTAGATTTTTCAGTAGTTCTCCATAGTGCTTAGGGTCAAGATCTACATTTTTTTTAAACTTCCTTCTGACCCTTTGTCTATTTCTCCCAGCCTTATCTCCTGTACTATCCTTCTCCTCCTTGCTGGGATTTGTCCTTTCTGAGCTTCTTGCATACTGACTGGATCTCTATGGTTTCATGATTCAGTTTTTAAAATTAAAAAAAAGACCAAAACTATTGGTCCATGTTTGCAGTACATAATGCTTATGTTTCACTCAAAACCATGTGGTATCTAGGCTTGCACGTTAATTTATTTCACTGAACATTAGTTCACCAATAATCAGTAAGCATCTGCTATACAACATACACTCTACTAGCAAAGGATTTCATCTGGGGACAAGACAGGAAAACACATGCTCCTAGGAAGTTAGGATCTAATGAAGAGATAATAAAACTAATTTAAAATAGTACAGCAGTCTAGGACATTAAAAGGTGATAAGGAAAAAATTGGGAAAGCAGGGGAATTCTTGGGAGAGGTTCAGCAGGAAACCCTAAGGAACATGCTCGTGGATTCATATAGCCTTCACTGAAAATGCTACAGTGGTTCCTCAAAAATTAAAACTAAGGGGTCCAGGGAGATGGCTCAGTAGGATAAACGCTTGACTGGCAAACACAAGGATCTGAGTTCAATCCCCGGTTCTGCCAAAATAAATAAATAAATAAATAAATATTTAAAACTCGAAGGTCATGTGACCACATGCACCCAGAGGGGATGGGCTCACACTTCACCGTTATCTGCACTGCCTGTTTGTTGTAGCACTGTTCACAATAGCAGAGGTGTGGAAATAACTGAGGTGGTCATCATCGATGGAACGGATGGATGAATAGATAAAAATGTGGCACGCAGTATATACACAGTGGAATACCATTCAACACTAAAAACTCACACTGCCATTTGCACCCACGTGGATGAACCTGGAGGGCATTATCTGTGTGAAATAATCAGACACAGCAGGAGAGACACTGCACGATTACACTTACATGTGGCATCTAAAGCAGATGCACGGAAGCAAAGAACAGTGCTAACCAAGGGCAGACCGACAGGGTGCGATGCCAGCCGAAGGATGCAAAGTCGCAGCGAGACAGGGTGTGCATGAAGCCTCTGAGCACCATACCACTGTCTTGTGTATTGAAATTTGTTTGGATTTCAAGCACTCTCATCACCAAAAACAAGTAACTGTGAGGAGATAAACATATTTATTTGCCTGACTGTAGTCATTGTTTGACCATATATATGAATATTGAAGCATTGTATTGGATATACATCTTAAGTGTGTGTGATAAAAACAAAGGAAGGAAGGATGGAAGAACTGAAGGAAGGAATTTCTCCAATCATCACACAGAGCCCATGTGTGTAGTTTATTCCAAAGTAAACTTTATTGCCTATTTCTGGCTGCATGGAGGCAGCTTGTGTGTCTGGGACACCCCAAAGTTAGGATATTTCTTTGCACACCTGAGGCCACCCACAGTGGCCCTGCAGCTGTCATCATGCCACAGAATGAATATATTGAATTATACTGTAAGTGCTATGGGTACTGCTTGGATTACCATGAGAAAAAGAGGAAGAAGGAAAGTTGAGAGGCTCAGGAATGTTCAAAGAAAGCAAAAAAAAAGAAAGAAAGAAAAAAAAAAAGATTGGCCTAAAGGCTAAGCTCTACCACAAACAGCGGCATGTAGAGAAAATACAAATGAAGAAGAAGACTATCAAGATGCATGAAAAGAGAAACACCAAACTACAGAATGATGAAAAGACTCCACAAGGAGCAGAACCTGCCTACCTGCTGGACAGAGAGGGACAGACTCGTGCAAAAGTACTTTCCAACATGATTAAACAAAAACAAAAAGGCAGGAAAATGGGAAGTTCCTCTGCCCAAAGTTTGTGCCCAAGGAGAAACAAGTGTTAAAAGTTATTTGAGCTGGAAACAGAAAAAAGAAGTCATGGAAGAAGATGGTTACTAAAGTCTGCTTTGCTGGAGATGGCTTTACAAGAAAACCACCTAAACATGAATGATTCATCAGGCCAATAGGCTTACGTTTTAAGAAGACCCATGTAACACATCCTGAACTGAAAGCCACTTTTTGGTGCCAAAACTTGGTGCGAAAAAGAATCCTTCATTGCCACTGTATACAACTTTGGGTGTCATTATCAAAGAAACAGTGATTGAGGTGAACATGAGTAAGTTGGGCCTTGTGACACAGAAGGCAAGGTTATCTGGGGTAAATATGCCCTGGTAACCAACAATCCTGAGAATGATGGATGCATCAATGTAGTCTTATTAGTTTGACAGATGTTCGTACAGTAATTTCTTATACTTATTAAAGACTGTAGACCAATCAGGAAAACCATAACTTGAATACTGCTGAACTCATGACTACATTCATCAGGAAAACTATTTATTAAATTGTAAAAACACTAAAATGGCCCAGTCTTACACATTGGTCTTTTCTTAGGGGTCTGCAAAGGGCTTACGTGTGAGATTGAACCATTTGAAAAAGTGAACATCAGTCTTTGCATTAAAGAGTGGGTACCCTGCAACACAGCTCTCTCATTCCTAAAAAGCCGCCCATATTGCACTGACTTTCAGTGCAAACTTAATTTAGTAGTCTAGGGCTAGGAAATCTGTTGAAGCTATTCTACCTCATCATTTATCATTAATCCTAAAAAAATAATGTTTAAGTTTATATTCAATATAGTCTATTTATAATAGACTTGGACGTTAAGGATGGCATTAGAAGTTTATTTAGATAATTCCAACTTAATTGCACTGAGGCTCTGAAAAGAAACTTTATTTGCAGTTAAATAATATAAGAAGGTTATATGTTAGGTGTGCATCTCAAGTTTTGTGATCTGAATAAAATAGTCATGGCTTGAAAAAAAAGTAAAATTTTATTTAGAGAAGCAGACAGCGTGGGGTGTCGCTTAAGCTCAAGCTTGCCAATCCCTGACCTGGAAGCCTGCCTAGGAAGGTGTGTGGAGAAGAAAGGCCTGCTGCCTTGGAACGCTGTCAGTCTGAGAGGCGGCGAAGTGATCTGATGCCAAGTGTCAGGGTAGGACTGGAGCCTGGGGAGATAGAGGAAAGTCAGGTCCTTGGGTGTTTCAAATGCAAAGACAAGGGATGAAGGAAGGAGCTTGTAGAGAAACAGAAGTGAGCCCGAGAGGTGGGAGAGAAACCTGCAGCTGAGTGCAGGCAGAGTTTCAAGGAGAACAGGTACGCCAACTGTTGCAGTGGCTGGCCACTGGGCTGGAAAGGACACAGGCTCGGCCCCAGCCGCTCACAACACGTACTTGCTGCTGACCCCAACAAGGGCAAGCTGGGTTGAAACCTGGCAGCAGAAGCATGACTGGAAGTTTAGAAGGCAACAGTAACAGGCAGGGCTGTAACCTCAGCAGTCTAAGGCAGGAAGGTTAGAAGTTTGAGTTCAGCCCAGGCAACTAGTAGTTTAGCAAGACCCTGCCACAAAATTTAAAAACAAAAAAAAAAAAAGAAAATTAAAGGCGGGACACAGGGAATGAATGGGGTTGTAGCTCACTGTGAAGGTTCTGGGTTCAGTCCTCAGTATTGCAAAAGAAAATGAAGGGCAGAGATAACAACTGGAAACTGTGGGTACAGACAGCTCTTCAGATGTTAACAGAAATAAAAGGAAAACTAGGTTGAGAGAGGATGGTGCATCCAGAGAGGCTGTTACTTTGAAAGATGGAAGAAGTTACAACTCGTCTGGGGGCTGATGAAAGCATAAGAAAGGGGGTGAGCTGCTTGTGCGGTGCTCTCTATAAAGCTGACGTGAGGACACTGGCTCTGTGGAGAGCAGCTCTGGGTGCTTACGGCAGGAGCAGCTGCGTGCGGGAGGGAGTCCTGTGGGCGGGCCCCTCGAGCATCCTCCTTGGACCAGGGCCCAGGGCAAGCAGCCAGGGTGAGGACAGGCAAGACGGAGAAAGCTTCTGCTAAGAGCAGCAGAGGGGGTGGACCAGGCAGCCCCTGTGTACTTTGCTTGGAGGCCCTAAGGGTGAGTTTGAGATCAGTGATACCAGATTAAGGTTTTCCATCTTTAACCTTGCTGAATATTCTTCAGAACCCACCCTTTCTGTCTGTCCTTCTTTGCCTATGTCCCTTCCAATTCCAACACCACTTTCCAGTGGCTTTCCCTCCTTATCCGGCCTTCCCAGGTTAGCTGTGATCCCTTATCATCTAGTCCCACTATCCTTTGCATTTTTACAATCACAGTGTCCCTTGTGGCTGGAAATCTTACCAGATTTAAGTCTGCTTCACCCACTAGAGTCCATGGTCCCTCTCCGTCTGTTCACCCAAGCCTAGCCTACATTCTGACACGTCTCTGTCACAGAATAAGGGCCAGGTGATCACTTTTCCCACAAGGCTCACCTAATAGGCCCTGCCAGCTGCTGGGCGGGGGGTTTCCTTAAGTGGCAGGACTCGAACTCAGGGCCCACACAAGCCAAGGCTAACCCCAATTTAAGAGCTTCAATACCACCATTATTTGTATTAAAAAGTTAATTCACCTAACCCAGGGAAAATGATTTTTCTTGCCAATACCTATATTGCCAGAATCCACGACAGTTCTGGGCACTAAGATAAATGCAATAAATAATAGACCTGAGATGATTAATACAATGACATCACAAAAACGCCAAACATGAGGCACGATTCTTTTCAATTTGAATTCCCTGTGTCTGACTGGGGTTTTTGTGCACTGTTGTTCTTTTGCACAGATATGGAGCCTTATAAGTGACTGAAATCAAGCTTAGGCCTGGGTGAAAATTACCCTGAGAATAATACAGAACCTATCAGTAATGATCTCTTTGATACAAGACAAGAAAGCTCTGTGTCCTCAACAACACCCTCCTTCAGCAACTCCCAACCTCCCAGCACTAGGCCTGGAGACAGGGCTTGTGTCTTTCCTGTTTCTTTTTATCCCAGCAGCTACCTTGGAGAAACTCTTCTTACACATGTGCACTAAGAAATTATTTATACATATAATCTAATATGTATAACAGTGTTTATAATAGAATCTAGACCCATAAGCCAAACAGAATATTCAAATAAATTGTATAATACTTCTACAATGAATAACTTAAATGTACCGAACTACTTTTAAGCTGTAGTCAGTAAACTATAGCTATATGAATAAAAAAGAATCAAAAATGATTCACTGAATTAAAAAAAAAAGCAGCAAAGAGAATTCTCCAAGTATGAAATTATTATTATTTTTTCTTTGAGACAAGGTCTCACCATGTAGTTCAGGCTGACCTTGAACTCACCGTGGGGCCCAGGCTGGTCTCAAACTCACAATGATCCTTCTGCCTCAGCCTCCCAGGTGCTGGGATGACAGGTGTGCACCACCAACCCTGGCTGTGAGTATGAAACATTTTTTTTTAAATTTTTTTGGTACAGGGTCTCACTGTGCAGCTCAGACTCGTAGTAATCCTGCTGTTTTCAGCCTCTCCAGTGCTGGATTACAGGCATGGCGCCACCACACCCGGTCTCGGTGGCCAGATCAGCGCCCTGGAGCCTGTGTGGAATCTGGTGCTGGGTATTAAACCCCAGTCCCTGCGCTTGCCCAGGCAGATGCTTAGTCTGCTGAGCTATCTCACTGGTCCAAACCTTTTACACAGAGTTCAAAAACATGCAAACCATTGTAAATACACATGAAGCAAAATCATAAATCAAAAGCACAGAGGTCACCTTAGTGGGGAGAAAGGCTGAAGAACAACTGGAGAGCACCAAGATGGTTTTTGTTTTTTTCTTTTTCTTTTTAGGAATACTGGAAATTAAACCCCAGGCCTTTACACTGACTTTTAAAATTTTTATTCTTGTTTTGAGACAGGGTCTTGCTATGTCACTATGTTGAGCAGGTTAGGCTTGACCTTGTGACCCCCTATCTCAGCCTTCCGGAGCACTGGAATTATAGGCACAGGGTGTGCTAGCACATCCAGCTTAGCGTGTTTTGCTTCTCAAGGTAGACAGTGAACACACATTGTGTGTTTATTATTTCATTTTTACTTACTTTTATAGCCCGCTGAATATCTTATGCCTTGCATAATTTTAAAAATGTAACAAGTAGGTAACAATTCCTTAGTGATGTGTCTGCTCAGATCATGCATCCCCCGTCCTTTCTCACTGTAGCCAACTCTGGTGTACCTGGCCCCCTGGTCTCGCTGACTCTGGGGCTCTCCCACAGCTCCTGCCCTCAGTCCTGGTGAGTACCACTTCCACACAGAGGCATCATCCACCCCTCCACCTATCACTGCTTTGACTCCTCCCCTGCGAAGAGCTTGTTTTCCCCCAGCTGCAGCCACCTCATCTTCCTACTCAGCACCAGCGCACCGAATCTCAAACACCTCACCCTCTTCCATCACCTCCTTTCTTTCCAGTGCCTCTCTTCATTTTTGCCCATTGATTCTCGAAGCACAGCAGGATGCAAAAGAACAGGAACACTTACACACTTGTGGTGGGAATCACACACAATTATGCATCTACAAATACTTAAGAACACAGCCTGTATCATCCAGCCATTCCATTCCTCGGTCTTTACATAAGAAAATTGAAAACAAAGTCAGTTCTTGGTGGTTTATTTATTTATTTATTTATTTATTTTTTGCCTTGGTGGTTTATGTACTGCAGCTCAAACCTGCAAATAATCCAAATGTCCACTGACTGAAGAACTGACAAACTATCATTTCTGCACTAGGAAATAAACTCAGCAACAATGGGAACAGCCTAATGATACCCTAGCTCTAACAGATCAAAATCATCATATGCAAAGCAAGCAAGAGAAAAAGAACTCATTTCCATAAAGCCCTAGAAAATGCAAACTCACCCCCAGCTACGAAGGGGGAAGGGTGTGGTCGGAGATCAGAAGGTGTAAGGGGAGTCACGGAGGAACTGGATGTGTTCATTACCTTGATTGTGGTGATATTTCATTCACATGTCAGTATTTATGAAATGTGAACTTTAGATATGGGCAGTTATTAATGTTCGTAATATAGCAACTTAAAACAGTTCAGCTGGGCTATAGCCCTGCCTAGCACATCACTGTCTTCACCCTGGGCGCACTCAGGTCTCTCCACTCCCAAGGCGACTGCTTGCTTCCTCCTCCTTTTTCAGCCTCAGCATCCTAACTTCCAGCTACTACCTGGCTCTTCATATCATGGACAAACAAGGTTCCCTCAGATGTGTGCTTTCCCAGGCTTCCCTCATTCTCCAAATTCATTTCTCTCCCAGGGTCCACCAGTCCCATCTACCTTCCTCCTCCAGCAAGTGACCGCTCCAGATCCCTGCCTGGCCCAGTGTTCTCCTTGTGCCCAGGGTCACTGCTCTTGGAGAAATACATAGCTGGGTTGCTGTGAGCTTCTGGGCACAGCCTTTCATCAGCCAATCAATGCACAACCTTGATTCAGGTGTGCTCCTGTTAAAGACCCCCATATTTCATATGCTGTTGATTCATTAGCATTGAACTGGTGGCTGGCAGCACAAGAGCTGGTCCTGCATGAGTTTATGGGACCCTCCAGGAGGCACGACCCTGCCTTCCTGTGCTTGGGAGCCATGAAAACTCTTGGCGCTGTGCTGGGCACACTGTTCCTACTTGAATCACAAAGATGGTGCTTACTTGGGGGGTGAGGCTTGAGTCTTTAGCAGCTGTCCCACTCATTGCACTGGCAGTCTGAGCCAGAAGATTTGATGTATTTTCCCCTCTATGCCTGTCTGTGAAAGAGCCCTGGACACTTGATTCTTGAGGTGAAAAACCACATTTCAGTGATTAGCACAATTCTCCAGCAAGGAACCAGCCCATGACAAGGCTGACTGCACTGGCCTACCTTTCTGGGGCGTGGGCTGTGCATGCCAAGGGCTTCTCTCCAGGGTCGGCCCAGCGCTGGGTGGGCTGCGCAGTGCACGGGATCAGGTAGATGGTGTATTCCCCAGAGTAGTCCTTCCTGGGCAATGAGACAGAGCACAGTCACGGACACAGGCTTCAGGACACCACAGCACACAAGCCCCACATCCCGCACCGTACCAGTCAGTGGATGCTGTTTTATGTACAAGGGAAAACAACCTACTTCCACATGTTCAAGTCCCCTTCATGAGTAAACCCGAGAAAGGCACACCATTTGTGACAACCCTCAAGCTGGGCTGGTGACAAAATGGAGCCGGCCACTTCTGTTGATGACATGACTGGTCTTTCTTGCTGAGGGATGCCCTGTCCAATCATTCTCAAACCTAGGAGTGCTGACGGGGCTATGGCTGTGTTGGGTGCTCTCTGACTGAGGTGGTGGGCACACACCAGGGCTCTACTCCCCAGTGCCATGGGAGCAGCACCCCAAGGAGCACCCCAGCTCTTACCTCTTCACCGGTGCTCTGACTTGGGGGCCGCTCCCTCATATGGTACCTCTCCCTCATGGGGCTGGAGAGCACTGTCGCTCTCCACTGGACATTTCCCAGTTGGTGTCTCTCTGGGTCCTGACACTGAGGGCACCAGGCCTGCTCTTGCCCACTTGTCTCCCACACTATGGTCTGGGCTGTGTCTCACCCTGGTAGGCTGCCCAGATGGCAGCCGAACACCCAGGAACTCAGGGAAGACTCCTCAGGGCGCTCCTGAGGCCACATCCAGAGCCTGAAGCCCACTGGGCTATGAATGGAATCATCATAGAGAGCGATGGGCAGACTTGCTGCGCTCATTCTTTAACCTGTGATTTCACAGATTTCTGTTATGAAATCTTTTCATAGATTTCTGTTATTAGTAAAGTGATAGTAAAGACTTCATTAAAATAATAGAAAAACTCTTACATCATATCTTGGATCATGTTAGTGGCATGGCACAAGTTAGAGACTAGGAGGAAGCTGAACAGTGGCTTTAGTTGTCACTGCCATGGTCGTGGGACTTTAGACAAACCACACAAACTTTGGGACTTTATGTCTAAATTCCTGTCCATTTTTTGGGGGAGGGAGGGTACTGGGAATTGAACTCAGGAATTGAATCACCAGGCAGACCCTGTACCACTGAGGTAAATCCCTGTCCCCATTCTTCCCATTCTTATCTGCATTTTTCCTCTATGGTCCCTACCTTCTTCCAAAGCTTGGAGCACCAGGAAATGCAACTAGTGTACAACATCTGACATACATGGAGATTGACATCTATAATTCGAATGGTAAGCCTTCATGGTAGAAATATTTAATTAGAACAGTCCAGGCCTGGTCCTGGCTTTCAGAAGGATGGGAGGGCCATCCTGCCTCTCCCCAGCCCTGTAGAGATCATGGTCTTGTCTGCACACTGGCTTTCCAGCCCAGTAGTCCTGCCTTCCCCCTGACATCTGCAATCTCACTGGCCACCACTCCTTCTTGCTCTCTCCCCTCCAGCTACTATGGCCTTCTTGCTGTTCCCTGAACCTGCAAGAAATGCTGTCATCTCAGGAACTCTGCCAGGAACCTGTTTTGCCAGGTTCCTTCCCAGCCAACCTCCAAGAGTACCTTCTTCATGAGGCCCATTTGGAGTATTGCAATTAAAATGATAATGTCCCTTCACTTCTGCCTCCCTTTACCCTGCTCAGTGGTTCGTCTTCCCATACCACACATCACCTTTGGATATGTATTATACAGTCCTGTGTCACACATACATTTTAAAAACATATTTCTAATGCCTTTATGCTAGGTATTCCCTCACTGTGTGAGCACCACAGAAACGCACCCCAACTACAATGGCTGTAACACCACTGCACGGCACAACCTCATGAGACCACTGCTGTCCACATCAGCCCCTTGCTAACTGAAGTGTCATCATTGGAACGTGACTGCACTTCGCTGATTACGTTTCCTGTTTTTCTATGTTCCTATTTCATTGTAAATCCTATGTTCAGGGATCTTTATTTTGTTGAACAAATAAATCCAGGACAAACTGTAGAGTTTCCTAAGCCTTTGGTTCTATTTTTCCCCACCCTTGAATCAATTTCCTAACTTTGCAGATGCCGAACCTGGCTGAGATACAAGTCTTTAATTCTTCTCCCCTCCTTCCTAGAAACAAAACATTTCTCCTGTCACAGCATGGATCACAGGCCATCCATCCCTACGCAGGTCCCCAGTTTCTACTGGGCTTTCCTCTCCCTGGAAGCTGTGGTCTTGGTATTCTATACCCATCATAGGGCACTCGGCACAGCATTCTCAGTGGTGCTCTTCTTTTTGCTACTTGTTCATGTATTTCATCTCCTTGTCTCAAAGGTAAGCTCCTAAGGCAAGCTTATTTAGGACTTAGCATGTGCAAAAATCTGCAGTGAGATATGAGATCAATGACACAAGTCTTCTTCCTAGCGGGAGCTTACAGCTTGGTCAAAACTTGGGGCCAGCAGTAAATGGACCATGATAAGATAATGAAATGTATAGGGCCAGCAAGATAGCTCAGTGGACTAAAGTGCCTGCTTAGGCAAGCGTAGGCAAGTGCAGGCACCACATGCCACACCAGCCCTGCCCCCAGGGTGGGCTGAGCAGGCCACAGAGTCTGGGTATAGTGGTGCATGCCTATAATCCCAGCACTGGGGAGACTGAACTGGAGGATCACTGAGTCTGAGCTGCATAGTGAGACTCTGTAACCAAATACATTAAAAAGAAAAGGAAAAAAAAAAAGATAATAAAATGTATTTAGCAGAAGCTGGAAGAAGTACCAGGAGCAAGGAGTTGCCAGAATTGCACAGGAATCTGGGACGCTGACCCAGAGGGGCTGGTGTTGGTGTCTGGTCTCACAGGAATTAGAAGTTTGCAGGGAGGACAGACAGAAGAGCAAAGCCACAGAGCTGTAGACAGGCTGGGGCACTTGGGTCTGGTGAATGCGGTCAGAAGGTGGGGCTGAGGGGGCTAAGTGTACGGCCAGGCTTTGTGCGCTACATACTGGTGAGTATTTTGCCAAGCAGACACTGGGGAACCCAGAGGGGACTTAAAGGAGGACAGCTCTTTGTCTTCAAATTGGGCCAAAGTGCATGAAAATCTCACAAGGCTCCAAGAAGAGCAGGCCCTGAAGATTACAACATGTGAATTTCAAAGGAGTCATCGCACAATAAAAATATGTGATGTAAGATCAGAAATTAAAGGAATCTTTCAAAAATGACTCTAGACAATCTTAATTATAAAAATGGTACAAGATTTTCATGATAAATATAGTTTTTAAGTTCTATGATCTATAAAAGGGGAAAATAGCATTTGTGATAGATTCCGGCTTGTTCCTTTATCCTTCATATGCTAGTGTTAATTCTGCTTTTTTCCACTATTGCTTTTTAAAAATGTGATAATTTACAGTATTTGTCCATTTTTTTAAACCTATGCATGGAGTGTGGGAGAGGAATAATCTTGGTATCTATCTATCTATCCATCCATCTATCCATGCATCTATCCATCCATCTCTGAATCATCAGGAGTGGTATCTAGACCTTACTGCCAGTGATGCTAGATTTTATAGTGCTCATGTCAATTGAAATGAAATCTTTTTGTCACACTTAGGTTTCAGTGGCACACATTTTATATCTTCCCATGTCCCTTGCCACTGACTAAGTGCTCATTAGGGGGCTATGAGGGGAAGAGGTGCATGCACTCGCTGGTATTTCCTTTGGACTACACATGATCACTTCCAGGATTATACATTCGAAATTGATCTGGGCTAGACTTTCCTTCTGTATTCGCTACAAGGTTGTATCTATCCAAGCCTCTTTTAAAACAGAAATTTAGACTTCAAAGTAAAAAGTTATATGTCTCAACCTTCTGAAAAAAACTGAAAACCTTTCTGATCAACCTCCTAGAAGCATCTAGCATTGTACTCACCTATTATATGAACTTGTGGCTCTCCAGAGTTGATATGGAGAATCAAATGTCTGAGCACTCCACAATAGCTGTAGGTCGAATTCAATCCCTCCCAGGTGATCTGGAGTCAGTATGAAAGATTTCACATCGGGGAGAGTGTGGTGCTCTGTCACAAACTGTCCTGTTTCGCAGGAAAACACACACATTTCTTTGTGAGTTGTACTGCACTTTGTACAAAGTGTAAGACTTTATTGTACAATAAAGCCTAATAATAGTCTTAATGTCCATCTATCAAACAACTATGGCGATCTACTGCTACCTCTTTTAGTGTATGACACACTGGTTAAAAAGGCAAAGCATGTCACCTATCTCCCTACCTGCACCAGCCAGGACAGCCTACAGTAGTAGGCAGAAACAACATGAGTATATGTTGTGGAATTGGTACTCATCTTATACACAATAATGGGTCTTTCTGTAACAATGAACATACATCAGTTCCAGCCAGCATGTTCCTTGGATGTGAAGAGAGCTGGGCATAAATAGAAATACCACTGTTGGATAAAATGGCATTCAAAGGACAGTTGCAACATCGCTAAAAAGGTAAAGATTACTTAGACACCTCTACTCTTTAAAACTTAACTGATAATGCTGTGAATAAATAAAAGTAGGTAGACTGTTGTAGATGAAAAGAAACAAAAGAGATGAAACAAAAATGTAACATGTAAAGTTTGATTAGATCCACCTTCCTTTTATACACATAGCTTAAACACAAAAACAAAGAGGAAAAGACATTTGAGGGATAGTAGAGGAAATATGGCTATTATTGAATCTGTATCAAGTCTGTTAGATGTGAAAATGATATTGCCATTGTGGGAAAAACACCCTTGTTCTTAGAGATGTCTCGTGAAGTATTAGGGTAGCTTGACATAAGGACATTTTGTTTCCAGATGATGTCACCAAAAAAAGATGTGTGTGTGTGTGTGCGTGTGTGTGTGTGTGTGTATGCATACCTGCAAAGCAAGAGGTTAGCAACCATTGACTTAGTGCTTCACTGTTCTATTGGCTCAGCTTTCCTGTGTGTTTTAATGTTTCTTATCACACTATTAACAGACCTTCGGCAGCACTCGCCAGACCCCTCCAGCCCCCGCACAGGCCCGGCTTGTGTGTGAGACCTGCTGCTCCACCAAGCCCACTGGATCCCCTCCAGCCCAGCCCAGGCCCAGAGTGTGTGGGGGACCATCTGCACACTCATGGGAATCTCCTCTATCAGACAGGCCTGGTGTGAAACTCTGTGGCTGAAGTCCCTGTAGAAAGGCTAGGGGCCAGCTAATCCAGGAGCAGGACATCTTGCCAGAATGGCACAGCAGATTCATCTCCACGGGCTGCAGCAGGAAGAAGCTGAGTACAGCAGCCACACTCAAGCCAGGCACATCTGGACAAGTTCAAACTTAGTAGATCTGGACCCAGTAAGCTGAGATACTTTGCTAGACCCAGATCTATGAGTGTGTCCTCTCTCTCTCTTGATCTACAGTGGGGCCAATAGGTAACCTAGTGAACTAGTCTGTGTGGAAGACCCCAGGTATATCAAGGGGAGGTGATCAGACAGAACTTAGGGGAACTAACTTAAATACAAATTCCCAATTTAATATCTGCTTAGATACACAGATATAATGTTCGCTCTTGTCTAAAATGCAAACCCATTAATTAAAATTAAATTAAAAGTTTGTCAACTGTTAAGTATCACTACCCATTATTAGTGTTCCTAATTGTAGTTCTATAAATATAAAACTATAACTGCCTTAACCATATAATCTCTCTTGGGTAAGAATTTTGGTAGGTGCTAAGGTTATAACTGCACCAAAGGTCAGAGGACAGTGCTATATAAAATGACAAAAAGAGGGAGCAAACTGCAGTCTCAGGCCCCAAGCCCACCCAGAACAAATGCAGGAGACACTAGTATAGAAGAAATAGGGAATCACATAGCTGAAATCTCTGAATTAATAAGAGTCTGAAGTAAAGAAACAGCTGCAGAAACATATAAAGGAAACCAGATCAGAAATAATCTCTGTAGTAAAAAAAGAAAATGGTAACTATAATGAAAGAACTACTAAGTGCTTCTAAAGAAGACACTGAAAAAAACAGAGGTGAATAGAAAAATGATAAAATCCTTGGATGAGCAACTTATGAAAGCAATAGAATGCAGGAAGCAGAGTCAAAGGGATAGATAGGAAATTAAAATCTCAATCACACTGACATTACCTCTGAATTTGGCGTGGGTCTTGAATTCAATGACAAGCCGACCATCTTCTCGAATATAGATCCTTATTATTTGAAGCCTTGCTGAGAGCACACTGTCTGTCTGGATCCCTAGGTGCAACCAGACACAACACATCCAAGTTAGGGCACAGAGAGGGCCCCTCTGGCTATCAGCTGGCTAGGGGCCAGTTGCCCCAACTATATCACTGAGCAGAGCTGCACATGGATTGACCGTGGCTTGCAAGAACACGTATCTTTACACGAACATGCACTCCATAGGCACTTGCCAATTCAGACAGCACGGCAGCTCATTACACTCTTTACTCATGTAGGAACCACTGACTCCAGATGCAAGAGTTAGTGCATAGCTCAAAACACAGTGGCTCTAAAACTTTCACTGTCATACTTCGCTCCAACATGTGCTTACAGTGCATCTACTTCACACTGGATTTTCTTTTCCTTTTCATATTTAGTAAACTCTTAAGTCCTGATAGCTACATTTAGTGCTCATATCATTGGAAAATTAGAGGGAAGCTTTGAGGGGGGTGGTTGTATCCAGAAGGCATGAAAAAATTTTCTTCAATAAAAGCAGTTGCAGTCATGGTGCCCAAGGGGTTCAGAATGATAACAAATAAAGGGTACCCAAAGGAGAAAAATAGCCAAGTGAAAAAAAACAGAAGAACAAAGTTCAACGAATTATCTGACCCAGGAAGGAAAACATGAAGCTGTTGTCCTACGAGAAGTACAAAGCAAATAAAAGATTACTTTTGAAAGTCAGCAGAAGAGCCAGCTGTGCCGAGTGAACAGAGGGGGCCACATGACATAACTGTCAAGCCTGGTGTTCCCGGCATATTTTTCCATTCCCATGCACATGACTTGGAGATTGCTTTCCTTCCTAAACAAGATGAGCCACACTATTTTTAACCAGCAGTTGCGGGGCATGCTCACACTCCACGGGCACACACTCCCTGCGTCCTGACAGACTGTTGCCCCCATCCTCTGCTCTGGCTCTAGGCTGTCTTGTCCCAGGATCGGCAGACAGAGGCCATGCTGCCGGACAGGAACACCAGCTCTGGCCATGTCCCACACATGAGGCAGCCTTCCTTTGACTTCCACAGTACCATGGGAAGGCACTGCTGTCCACAGTCACTGCCTCATGATGCGTGGGGGCAGGAAGGTGGAGACGCCTGGGCATACCTGTCCTCCACAGCACTGTGTCATAGAAGAAGGAGAACTCCATCTCTGTGTGGTGCTCCAGGGAGGCCCAGCCGCGGGGCGCTGTCACGTAGATGTAGGACACGTAGAGTGGCACATGCACTGTCAAGAACGACTGAGCGGAGTCCCTCACCTGTGAGGAAACAGACGCTGACTTTCTCTCTGGACGCAGGGGTGTCCAGCCACCACACAGGTTCAAGTCCCACTTACTCGACCTCTCACCTGTTTAGTACAGAGTGATGCTTTGGAAATGATCTGGAGAAGACAGCGCATCACGTTTCCAACAGAACGCTTCTTTCTCAGAGGGTTCCTGTTACTACTATTAGTTCGGGTCATTACTGACGTACTCAAAGAATAAAAAGTGAATGGCAAGATAAAATACTGGACTAGCAGCAGATGTCATTGGGAGGCTGGCTGTATATATGTGTGTGAGTGGGAGAGTTAGTGCATTCATTTTAAAAAGTGTTTGTTAGGGCCAGCCAGATAGCTCAGCAGATTAAAGTGCCTGTTTAGGCAGATACAGGGACTGGGGTTTGATCCTTGGCCTGCCGCGCTGCCCCCACCCCTGGGGTGTGCTGAGCCAGCGATTAAGACTGGGCGTGGTGGCACATGCCTGTAATCTCAGCTCTTGGGAGGCTGAAAACAGGAGGATCACTGTGAGTCCAATTTCTGTAGTGAGACCCTGTACTAACTACATAAGAAAAAGTATCTGTTGTATTCCCTTCTTCAAAGATATTTGTATATATCTATATCTATATCTATATCTATATCTATCTATCTATCTATATATAACATAAAGCTGACATTAAATTTGAAATAACTTTATTTTTTTATTGGCCAAATACTATAACATATTATGGGACTTGTGCTTTTATTTGGCTGGACTATACATTATAAAGTGTTTCTAAAATGCTTTATCAATATTTAAGACTTCATGACTGGGGGTGGAGTTCAGGGCAGAGGGCCTGCTTAGCACTTAGTATTGGATTCAATCCTTAGGATAACAAAAAAATCACACACATTATCACTTAATTTTTCTAAAGGATTGTTTTTGGAGATAGGGTCTTGCTAAGGTAGTTACGCTGGCTTTAACCTAATGACCTTCTTACTTCAGCCTTCCAATAGCAGAGATCACAGGTATATACCACACCCAGCACTGAAAATGTTTTTCATGCTTAAAGTTGCCAGTGACTTAAAATTTGCTGCCAGATTTTTCCAAAGACTACAAATCCCATATTCATTTAAATATCCCTTTTTGATATGCCTTACTCTTACTTTGGAAAATTTCCAAGCTCACATCATATCTACCCCACAACATAATTTTTACCAAAATACACCTGCCTCAATCTCACAGTTATTGATATTAGTATCTAGCCCTCATATTCTTACTAATATTTAAAAAGAACAGAAAGCCCCACAAACATTTACTGCATACCTGTTTAATGCCAGGTACTGTGTGGGGTACCTGGCTGCGTTCAGCTTGTTAGTAACAACTTCCAATAAGGTACAGGGAGGTTGTGTCTTGTCAATCTTCTAGTTGATAAACAAAGATCTGAACAAGAGCTTGGATCCAGGTACTGTGCTGTTTTCTATAATCTATCAGCAGTTTCACTTATTTTTAAAGAAACAAAGCAATAGTTTTTGATGGTCCTTTATTTCTGGGTTTTGGGGGGGGTCTATTTTTTTTGAATTCTTTATATATCCTAGATATTAGTCATCTGTCAAAGAAATAACTGGCACTTCCAGCCCCCTGCCCATTTTTCAGGATTTCATTTCATCCTGTTAGCTGTTTCTTTTGTTGCCCAGAAGCTTTTCAACTTGCTATGATCTCGTTAGTTGAGAGAAACAAACTGGAGTTGTCCCCGCCAAGGCAGAGGCCTCTTGATAGCAAAGTGTTATGTAACACAAAGCAGACACGCTGTTTCTCTTCTAGGAGAAACCCAAAATATAATAAAGAACAAAATAACAAGACTGGTCTTTCTCAAATGGAAAGAGGGTCAAGAGATGGAAAACTCAAGACTGGAGAGGGTGAAGGAAAAGTGATGAAAATATCGTTGGGACGTGTCATGTATGCGTACCGGCTTCCCACACAGAATGCAAACGCTGCGTCTTACAAACATGGAGTAGAAGAATAAGAAAAAAAGGCAATGATGAAATAGTTCTGTGTATATAATTTTTCTGTATGAGTTTAAAAAGTGGAATATACAGGAATATCCTTGCAGAACCAAGAATATCCAAACATGTAATTGAAGCAAAATCATGGAGCACAGACAATACTAATTTTTTTTTTTTTGGTACTGGGGAACAAACTCAGGACCTTGTGCTTGCCAGGCAAGTGCTTATGCTGCTGAACTATCCTCGCCCTTGACAATACTGATTTTTGAGGGGTTAAAGGAGGAATAGTCTTTTAGTTTTGCATTTTTCCAGTGACCAGATTATGCAACTACAGAAACAGAAACAAAATTTAAGGGTGCTTTAAACTCCTCAGCAGAGGGCAGCAGTGCACACAAAAACAAAAGGAAGCCAAACAGTGGTCATGGAGAAAACAGCACTTTTCGACAGACATTGTCTCAGAACAATCATGTCCCTCTACATGTTCCCTCCTTTGGTAAGGTTATTTATGTCTTCTTGAGACAGGGTCTTGCCATGTAGTTTAGGTGGGCCTTGAGCTCATTTTGTAGCCCAGGCTGGTCTCGAACTCACAATAATCCTCCTGCCTCAGCCTCCTGAGAGCTGGGATTATAGGCGTGCACCACCATGTCCTGCTAAACCTAATTTAAAATGAAGCCCATTTAAGTAATTTTTGGCTGACTGAGATAAGTAAGCTCCAAATGGGAAGGGCCCTGCTTTAGAATTAATCTTGCCAAGAGGATGGATAGGTCCAGTCTAACGGTGTATGTCTGTTTTTCCAGGGGTTGCCAGTTCAAAATGGACATGAAATCAAGTGTTCTCAACAATGATCTCTTGTCTCAGTAACAGGACCCTCCTTGTCTCCTCAATGGCAGGTCACACATGCTAATCTGACTCATTTTCCTAAGTGAGGAGAACACAGCTATGTGGCAATAACCTACTATAATATATAAATCTTGTCAGTTTTTCAAAACACACACAAAAGGAAAATATACATACCAAGAAAAGTAAATATTAAGTAACATAATAAATTACTGTCAGTATCAGACAGTAATTTTTTTGCACATTAGCTTGATTTAGAGAACCTTGGGGACTGTCTCTGTCCACAGTACTGAGAGATCCTGCTTGAGGGATTTATAGAGAAGACTTCCTCAGCTGGATGGCCCTGTTCTGGATGCAAAGTGCTAATCAAAGAGCTTCAGGAAGAAATAGCGCCGGGGTGGCACCCGGTGCACAGCCCAGGGACGAGCCCCAGCGCACCCACCTGGAAGTCCGCAGTTACTGAGCCTCCGCACACATCGATGAGCTCGGTCATGTCGTAGTAGGCATCAAAGGTCCACACGCAGCTCTTGAGGTTCAGGTGTTTGTAGAGCTGGATGGTCTTCAGCTCTCGCACACGCGGGTCAAACTGGAAGGGACGGTCATAGCCAGGACCCAGGGCAGTGCTGTCATAGACCACATCATCCAGGAACCCTGCCTCTGCCCAGGAGGGAAAAAGCAGGAATGGAGACCCAGCCTATGGATGCCTGGATGCCAGGTTGGGGGGAGGGACTACCCTTTCAATATGGAGAGAGCTTTCCATACACCTGAGACTATGGACCAGGTGCCTATGACTCACCCTGCACAGGGAAAATGCAAAGGAGCTGCAAAGAGAGCTACCTGGGGCTGTGTGTCAATGGGGGCTCTGGTGGGAAGAGAGGGTGACTGAACGATAGTATCAACAAAGACGGCAGAAGCAGGAGGAAAACACACTGCGTCTTCACCTGTGCATGTGTGAGTGTGGCTCTGTGCACGACAATCAGTCTTGAGGAAATGAACTTAACTGCATAGACCATTCACTTGTGAATTATCATTTTTTAGAACAATTTTCAAAAAGCGGATTTTCTGAAAAGCCAACAAGTCAACATCTGACTGTCTCCCCTCTTTCTTCCTAGGAGTTCAGATTCCTGAACTCTTGGGGAAAAAAAGTCTTAATGAGTAAATAGCGCACTAATGATGCGTAACTAAATCTCACCTGCTACAGGCAAAAATCACTGGCTCAAACGCTGCCAAGCAAGTGACCTGTTCTAAATTAAAGAGGACCTTTATGCAGTAGAGAGCTGAATACCGATGCAGTTTTATAGTATCAGGAATAAAACTTCATAGTTCTAAAAGTGCTGGCAGGGCTGGCCAGATAGCTCAGTGGATTAAATTGTCTGCTTAGGCAGATGCAGGGACCAGGGTTTGATCCCCTGCGTGCTGTGCTGGCCCCGCCCCTGGGAGCACACTGAGACAGCAATTGAGATTGGGCATGGGGACACATGCCTGTAATCCCAGCACTTGGGAGGCTGAAAACAGGAGGATCACTACGAGTCCGATCTGTGTAGTGAGACCCTGTACTAAATACATAAAAAATAATAAACAAAAGTGTTGGCAATATTTTGGAAGAATTAATGCATTTCTTAGAATGCTTTAAAAAAAAAAGAATGCTTGACATCAGCAACCAGTTTCTTATCCCATAAAGACTAGCCAATCAGTTGACCTTGTCGAATTGACTGCTTACACATAGAGAGAGGGGCAAAGTTCCACTTTTGGCACAAACCATGTTTCGCCCACCAGCTGTATATGTGCCAATTAAATTTCTGTGTGTAGCTCAGTGAGTTAAGAATAATTGGCATTCAACTAATTCTGCAGTATGAAGATCTTCCCTATCAAAATGATGTCTAATGAATATGAAAGAGCGTGTGCATGCATTTGCCTTCAAAAACACTGTTAAATGATTCATCAGTTGTGAAGGGAGGAGATACGCAGTTACTGTGCACTTGCTAAGGCAAATGGGAAGGGACAGGATTCTTTGTAAAGTAAAACGTCTGCTGTGGGGGCCGTGGAGATGCTCTGCCCAGTTGTCACCTTCAGGTGACATCTGCTGCATGTGGCCCAGCCCCAGGTCATGCCATTTGGGGATAGCCTGCATCCAGTGACTGAGTCAGGGCCTGTGAAGGTCTGGCTCTCTGGACTGGAAGGAGGATGAATCTCACTGGAGTTTTTCACTTTTGGCTGCAGTGTAGTTGGACTTCTCCCTCTGCCCAGTCCTGCTTCCTTTCCTTTCCTTTAATAAGTATTGATTCATGAAAACATTTGCACTCCAAATCTCCATTTCAGCTCCTGCTTCCAGAGAATCTACAGAACATCTGCACATTAGGTTCTCTTTTAGGGGACAGATCCAAAAATGTTCTCTATAGGGAAAGGAAGGAACTAAAATGTACTGAGGTGGGAGTGTGAAGCACGCCAGTGAATTGAATGCTCACCTCAATTAGTAGCACTGGTTATCCTCATCTGAGCGGAGCTCAGACAGGTCAAGCTATTTTTGTTTGGTTATATAGGTAGTGAAATAAGGACTGAAATATGAGTTAGGTTCCAAAGTCCTTGTTCTCTCTTATTATAGGCTTCATTGCGTGAGATGCTTATATTTGGATGCTCGCTTAGAAGGAAAAGCTGACATGCAGATTCTGAGGATCACAAAACACCAAAAGTAGTGCTCTGTCCACTGAGCCACAACCCCAGGTACTGCACAGGGCTGGCACGCAAAAACCAGGACAGAAGGCATCCCTCACCTGAGATGCCTCTCAGGTCGCGGGTGGTGACGAGATTGGAGCAGACGTGCTGGTGTCTGTAGATGGACTCAGATAACAGGAAATGCAAGTTGTGCAGCGGCATGGTGGAGACAAGCGGCAGCATCCCGTCCTGGTGTGGGATCTGCACTGAGATGTGGATCCTGTGGGAGAGAAGGCACGGGTGAGCGTTCCGCTGCGTGCTGTCGCTGGTACCAGCATGCATTTTCTTCTCATCACAAATTTGTCTTCCCCAATGAACTCAGCAGTCTTTCCTCCCCGGAAGCTTGCCAGGGAAGATTTCTATCAGAACAGGAAGGTGGAGATGGACAACAAGGTTGTTTTTCTCAGAGCTTCTCCACACTCAAGAATGACAGCAATCAGGAATCACAGATTTTTGGTTTTTTCCTACATAAGAAAAGATAACATCACAACTACAAACTATTCTTAAGCTTCCTTTTGCTTTAAATGGAAGCTTTGTATCTATTGAAAGCAACAGCTGAGTGGCTGGAAAGGGCGCTGCCCCCGGCTCTGTCTCTGTGAATAACTGTGGAAGTGGGGGATGGTTGCAACAAACAGTTTTAAAGCATTTGTTTGAGTCAAACAGATAGCATTGAGTTCTTAAACTCTCTGGGCTGTTTTCTGTCAGGCTAAATAGCTTAGAAATGACAATATCCCCCTGTTCATACTGTGTCTCCCCAACTACAAAAGCCACCTAACTCGTCCCTGGAAGTCCCATGAACACCTCACCTGCGGCAGCCCTCACTGCCCTCAATCAGCATTGCCCATGATTTACATCCCTTAGTGGTTTGGTCGCCTTCCGACCAGGCTATCTGTAACTTATTTATATTGGCTGCTATTTCTTGTATGTTTTAAGACTGCTTATCTTGGCTCCGCACCATGGACAAGGGCCACTTCCTTCATTTCTTCTGTTTATCCAGTGCATGTAGTATACGATTCTAAATAAAATATGAGCTTAATAAATACCAGTTAAGACTGCAATACAACAGTACTGTTGTTATAAGCTGCATTTGTTTCCACTGTGCAACTTTAAATGCTCAGTGTGCTCATGGAGGGTGTGTTTTGAGTTTATTTAGTTTGTCTCTGTAAATAAAGAGGCACATTTTAAAGAGGAACCAGAACTTGGGAAAGAAAGAAAGAAAGCAGATGTCCTTTTTCTAGTAAGGGGTCCATTGTGGCCTGAGTACTTATGTTATCGTTCTTTAACAGAAAGAAATTTGAAAAAAAAATTATTTGTGCATTCTTGGGCCCACATTCAAACCCAGTCCCCCCCACCCCACACATAGGAATCCATTTCTCTGAACCTATTTCTCTGAAGTTACAAATTTCAATTCCACGAGGTTTAATGAATATGTATGGAATGCATGAATTTTCTTCTGCTACGCAAAAAGGAAATTATCTGTCTCCTATCAAAATCATGGCAACACAGGAAAAAATAAATCTAGTAACTGATAGTTTCGATGGGGTTATTGTTCACTTGTTCTAGCAAGTGTCTCTTAGGTACCAAGAAGTACTGAGTTGTGTGGAAGATGTAGAATAATCCTGGTGTCTGCCCTTATGGTTCTCCCATCCATACTGTGGGTAGAATGAACAAGGACAATGCTCTGAGAGGGGACCAGAAGGGGCTTGAGGAGCCTCTACGATGAACCGGAGGGAGAAGGTGGTAAAAACATTCTTGCAGAGATGCCATGAGCTAGGTATTGTAAGACAACATGATTTGACTACAGCAAACAGAGGAGGGTGGTAAAGAACTAGATTTAAGAGTAAAATGTGTATATCCTACAAGCATTTGTTATCCTTGGGAACTTACACGTGATTCCCTGGGGGTGGACTGGCAGGAGAAAATAGTAAGGTCAGAGAAATGAGGCTAGGAAGATAGATGGCTTGGACCTTGAGTGGCCCTTCAAGGAACACTTTGTTCTAAAGCATTATATTACCACTGCTTTATTTTGCAGAGTCCTCACTCGCTAGGCTGCCCTACCTAGAAAACTAGTTACAGAAAGAGCCACCTGCCCAACCTGTTTGGATGCTCCTTGTGCTTGACGTCCAGGTATTTCAAGGTTGCGATGAAGGACTGTGCCTGGAAGCCTCTTGATGTCCCGGCCACCACTGGGGTGTGGCAGATAGCACTATCTGTCCCGATGGTAACAATGTTGCTCCTTAAGGGGGTCCCCACATGGCCAACCTTATCCACAGCCTTTGCCACGCAGCGCACATGAAACCGCCGGCTGAAGTAAATGCTATCCAGGACCTACAGGAAGAATATAAAGCACCTCAGATCCACATATACCACACAAATAGGACCACAGGGTGTTATGACACAGCCAGCTACCAGTACAAAGTCATCTGTGAAAGTCATCCCACCGCTGACTTATCCGTCTCTTTGTTCATTCATCACATAATCACTGACTTTCCACAATGACCCAGGAACAAGCGTGAGGGAGTGCTTGGAGCTGAAAGGGTAAAACAGAACGTGAGCGAGTAGACAGACATGCAGCAAGGGCCCGAAGAAGGCTGGTGCCTGGTAAGATGCCTGGTAAGAGTACTTTGCTCTCTCTTCTGGGTTTGGCATAAGGACTGCTCCGCTGTCTTTCAGAATGTCCAGCAGGACTGGTTGGCCTCCAAACCACTGTTGCTGAGTGTTCGAAGGAAACTGGGTAAGGCCCAGACATCAATTCTTTAATTAAGCTGTCTTCCAGCAAAAGCCTCCAGGCCTTTTACTAATGATCCCCACAGTATGGAATTGGCTTTTCAGGAATGGGCAGGAGCAGAAGTGATCATCTGGTCCCTAACGTTATGAGCTCAGACTCTCCATGCATAGTGGAAGCCCCCCTGGAAGGAAACACGGGCTCTTTTCTTCTTATCCAACCAACAAGCAGCTGCACCCCAGTGCTCTCAGTGCTGACCCAGGTGGGGTGCAGATCTGAGCTTTTAGCTCCCGGCCTCCTCCATAGTGTTGGCCTTTAAGTGCAGCAGGTAAGGCAGCATGTCTGTGCTCCGCAACAGTGACACCTGGGTCTTGAGGAGGGGCTTCTCCCCGGGAGTGCTGATTTCTTTCTTTCCTGCTGATCTCCCCCTTCTAAGTCCTAGTAACACGCAGACTTGAAGCTCTGTGCCTTGCCTGTCCTCTGACGCCTCCAGCCTTTCCACACCTTCCTCACACTTCCAGGCACACAGAAAGGGGAAGTTGGCCTGATAATTCAATCTGTGCAGAGGCAGTGGAGGCTGCCAAGGCTCCTGGGGTTATGCTTGCACACAGAGGGAAGCATATAAGAAAAATTAATTAGTAGTTCTGCGTGCCTTAGACCTCCCACAAAGCAAATATACAAATGTGTAAGATCTTCCCGTGAAAATAATTTTCGCCAAAGTCTATTAAAAATTAAAGAACATTTGCTCATTAAAATTTTAAAATTAGCTGTCAACTCCTTTCTTTTTTTCTTTCTCTTTTTTTCTCCCTTCCTTCCTTCCTTCCTTCCTTCCTTCCTTCCTTCCTTCCTTCCTTCCTTCCTTCATTTTTTTGTAAGTAAGGGGTCTGGGGCATCTTACAAAAGTACAGAGAGCATAATGGTATTAAATAAATCACTGAATAAAGTTAAAGCAAAAGAAACTGGGTTAAAGGTATTAGCTACCAATATTCCTGCAAGAAGAAAAACTTTAGTCACAGAATCATAAATTTGGGACCTGTACAAATATATATTTGGCTCAAATACACAAATATGATTTTGTTGGACAGAGAATTAGGCAATTATGAAACAAGCTGTTAAGCCTTGCCATTTTAATTTGTCAATCATAGAGAAAATGATTTAAATTTGAGCTGGGTTATACTGCAAAAGAATGGCTTTTCTAGCTTTCTGAATAAGCTCTCCCAACGTCAACAGAGCCGAATGGCCCTGCTCTGTCTCTCTCTCTACCTCCTGTCTCTAATAGCTTTCCCCTGCTATTACCCCATTCAACTTAACATGCTAAGAACAAACTGGATTGAACAGGAAAATCTAGTGAAACTCAGTCTGAAAGAAATCTCAGACTTCCCAAACTAGTTTGTAAACTACTTTCAGCCACGAGTCATTGAGTGATTACTGTCTCCCAGATGCTGAGCTGAGCTTGAATCTCAGTGGCCTTCACGTCGCTTCTGGAAGAGATGGACGTGCTGTGAGTAGGATGAGGCAGCGCTGCCTCCTGCAGCCGGGAGAGCTTGCTGTTCTTGGCTTCTCAATGGCGCGAGGGAGCGGGGGCAGTCTGGTGTCCAAGGTCAACGCCAGCATTTCATATCCTCCCACAGCACTTGGCAAGCTGTTGGCCGCTCAGTGGCCATTCCATCCTTTCCTTTAAAAACTGGTCCCTACTCTGCACCATCAATATGCTGGTCACTTTGGGATATAAAAATGTAAAATCTTAATCCGTGTCCTTAAATGGGTTTCTATCTGAATTCGTATTGAGTGATTAAAAACATGTGGCAAGGACAGTGATCACTCACTGGCACCTACCTGGAGCCTTGCACTTACTTTATCACTTGGAGGTCACACTTGCCAGTGACGGCCCAGTGGCCAGGGCGGGGAATACTGTTTTGTTGATCAGGAGATTGAGACAGGGGTCAAGTAACCTTTCACATCATGTAGCTTGAAATAGGCAGTATCAGGATTTGTATAACAGTCTTTGACTCATGCCTTAGCTCTCTATTGTATTACCTTTCCATATATATAAGAACAATAATAATTTTAAAATCCCCAGTGTATATCCCTGTTGTTTTACTCCAGATGGCACAGGGGGACCTTAAGGATTTTGATGGAGTTGGAGAAACAAAGAACTAGGCCCATTCCCTCTCTTCTCAGCGTGGCCCAGGCCCAGGCCTACCATGTGGTTGACGCTGGTGAATGGTGTGCTGTCGGTGACGGTCTCAAAGGGTGAGCGGGCCCCGTTGCCATCAGTGGGGGCGGCTACCTCCCAGCTGAACTGCACAGACGTCTGGTTGATGCCAGCCTCACTGCAGTGCTCCTTCATGATGGCAAACCTGGGGAAGTGTGGGTCGCAGGGAGTAACACAGACCAGAGGGTAACCTGGAGACGGGGCTTTCTTGGCTCCTTCCTTGGTAGCCTCCTCCACATGATCATAGTCAGCAAGTGTGACAACCTGAGAAAGAGCAGCGCAGCTTCAGGCTAAGCTGGGTCTCAGCAGGAATGAAAACAAAGGCTCTTTCGCTCCCAGTCCTCCCACTTCCAGGGACTCTGCTAAACATCTGCTAAACCGCATCAGCAGGTTTGACAATCCCTTGCCGGCCATACACAAAAGATACTGTAGCTCTTTGATAATGGGGGAATCCTCCTAGTGTCGGGGATGAGAGCTTTCCTAGCTTACCATCCCAAGCCCAAGTCATGGCCCTGTCACTTCTGTTCCTGTCCACTGGAACCGAAAGGTGTATCATGAAAAGCAGTTGCTAGTTTAGCTTACATGGAATTGCTAATTGGTGTGTAGTAGCACACTAGGCAAACAAGAGTACATACAGATAGAATACTTCTTCTATGGTCAAACAAGACACACATTTTGAAATAATCTTGCTTTTTTTTTTTAGAATAGCAGAGACCAGTAACAGGAAGTTAGGATGCTTGTTCTGTCTTCCCAGTATGGCGTAAGTGCTTTTTGCCACCTTCAGATATTTTCCTCCTAATTGTAAAGTCAGCATATTCATTCTTTTTCCAAAAAATATTTATTTCTTTATTTATTTGGTACAGGTATTTATCTGAACCTATGCAGTTCAGACTCATAGTGATTCTCCTGTCTCAGCCTCCCCATTGCTGGGATTATAGGCATGTGCCACTACACTTGGTTTCAGGAAGGCACAGTGTGACCAGGGTTTTGTTTTGACATGGCATGCAGTACCAAAGATTGAACTTGGGTCCTTGCACTTGCCAGGCAGGTGCTTAGACCACTAAGCTATCTCCCTAGGCCAGCTGGGAGTTCATTCTATTACTCCCAAACTGGGAAATGCAACTGTGTTTCTGCATTTCCTTAAGCCTGTATGCTCAGCATGTAAGAGGACAGACATAAGATAGTTTTACTTTCTTATTCTTCAATGTCTCACCAAAGCAGTGACAAGATAATTATATGATACTTCCTATCTCTGTTAGACTAAGGAACTGACATGGTTTGGCTTTACTCTCATTTCAGAACAAGGTTTCTGCCCATGGTACTACTGACTTCTTCTGTTGTTGGGGGCTGACATATGCATTGCAGGGTTTAGCAGCATCCTTGGCTTCTACTCAATGGATGATCATAGCATTCAGTGTGATGGTTAGAATGACTGAAAATGTTTCCAGATATTGCTGGCTATCCTCTGAAAGGGGAAAGTGGGACAGGCAAGATTGTCTTGGCCAAGAACCACTGGGTAGGAACACTGAAGAAGTAGAACATTAGCAATAGCTCAAGACTAGTCAACCAATGAAGAAGTCCCACTCTTCCCCAGCTCCCATCCTCCATTCACTGGGACTTTGGGTCACACAACTCACAATGGGTGGTGCTGGCAGGATGAGACTCCCTGCTGCCTCCTGGTCTAGAATTGTCACTGTGGCAGTTGTCACATCCCCAAGAACTGCCTCCACTGGGTCATCAGGGCCAAGAACAAGAGAGAAAGATTCGTGCCATTCCCGGTCTTCATTGGACAGGATCTCAACTTTAAAATATATATGGTCCACACCTTTGGCAAAGACAGAACAAAGCCTCATTAGGGGACTTCCCAAGAGAGCACACGTTGGCACTGCAGACATGTCAAAATATGTCTCCTCCTTTTACAGGTCTTCTATAAATGCTAATCATTTTTGCCATATCTCAAGTGAGGAATCTGTTTTACAGAGAAAATTTTACCTGTGGTAGAGGCTCAGTAGTGCTGACTTAATATTGAGCACCATATGAGAATTAATAGCCCCTGCCTGACACTAGCTGGCAGTAATAAAAATCTATGATCCAGAATGTACTTTCTCCTGGTTACAAGTTTCTTTGCTTAATTTTTCTTTCTCTCTTACAGTTATGCACGAGTTCCTGGATAGTTGTGAAGGCCTGCATACTCAGATACCCTTCAAAGCAATAGCTCAAGGCTACTTAACCAGTGGTTGAAAAGAGAAAGGTGTAAGGTTTAGAAACTCCCTCCTTTGATGTAAAGCAATTTTCTGAGGGTGGAAACATTCCTGTCAGTAGCAAATATCCTTTTTTCTCTTCTCTAGAAACCTGTGCTAGGTTGCTTCTAGACTTAGCTTTTCCTCAGATTCTCAAGGAGAAAAGGAAAAACTCAAGACCCAGGTAAAAGAGTCTTCCTGCAGAAACAAAAGAAGGCCGTTACTTTTTCATGAACTGGACACATGTGGAATGGAGTCAAAAGCCCTGTGTAGGGACACCTAGGGTCAGCCTCCTTAATTTCTGATTTACTTGACAAAATATTCCTGAAAAGTACTAAACACCATTGTTCACTGCTGGTTACATAAAAAATGGTGCCAGGATCTATATCAGGCTTTTCACTGTTCCAGAAAGTTCTACGATCAGTCCTAATGTACCCTCCATCACATTGAAAGAACAGTGAAATGGTCAGGTGTGATCTGATTCACATTTTTCTCTCTTCTCTGATTTGTCTCCATATTTCTCTCTGGGATAAATCTTTCTTGGAAAGTCTATAGCAGAGTATCTTGTTTCCTAGTAGATGTGAAATCACTTGAACACAGGATTATGCCTATCGGAGTGTGTTAAGCCCAAGGGAGCCAATACAGGGCTTTGTACCAATGTTTGTTGAATAATGTGTATATGTTTCTGAACCAAATACTCATGTCAATTCAACCAAATCAGTAGGTAACAAAACATCCTTTTAAATAAATCAAAATGCCCAACATGTTCTGACATTAGGGACTTATTTTTTTCCATGCCATTTTCCATAAATTAAAAAAAAAATACCTGTCATCTCAAATGTGTACTCAATAAATATTTTATATTATATTATTAAAACTACTTTTTCCCCCTTTTCCCTCTTTGTTTCTATGCTTTCTCCTTTCTTCAAATACAAGATATCAATACCTCAACTGAGAGAAGGCACAGTTTGGAACTGGCATTCAATTACCAGGATTGAATTTCAAGACTCGGCTCTTCGGGTAATAATCCACACCAGACTGGGCAGATCCATCCCGTGTGCTACAGCGGACTTTGGAGGTCCTGTTCTGATCCCCTCTGCGGATCACCTTGATGCTCAGAATTGCAATGGCATCTGGCCCTGCAGGCTCCCGGACTTGGTATGCAGCTTCTTCAAACTCGATGGTGGGGGCTGAGGAAAAACAGTTAAGAAAAGAAAAGCAAGTGTTAGCAGCATGAAGGATCCACAGCCCCATGAAGCAAGTCCCAGAAGCAAGAAGGAACTGGTCATATTAGTTAATAATACCAGGTGATGTGACTTGCAGTCGTAACAACCAATTGATAGCTACTTTTAAGCAACACTTTGGAAAAAACTCATTTGTGGTCCTGTAGGATTTATTTCTCATGTTTCTTATTAAAAACAACATAATGAGGGAAATATTTAGAGATTTTGAAATACATGACCACATTTCCATCTTGGCATTTCATGTAGCTCACTAAATGTTTTGAACTCTTCATAGTTTATTGAGGGGCTGAGACATAGGTCCCTGATAAAAATCTATTGACTGATTATGAGTTGACTTTATATTTATGAATTTCTAACGTCGGTAATTTATCTTATTTATATACAGCTTGAGTTGACCAAATCTATCTTTCATTTGTGAGCTTTGAACACCCATTCCCAGAGTTCCCACCTCCTCAACCTTAAGCTTCTCTTAATTTTTTGCATATTATTTAGTTAAGTATGGTTAGTTTGAGCACCTGGATAAATAACACAGGTGCACAAGACATCCTACCTGTCTGATTTGAGGCACTACTGTCATTGTTAGAAATGACTAGTAATGCTTTTTGCTGGTTTTTACCTAAATTTTTCAAATTATGACTTTTCATGAGGAAGGGTATGATGGGGTGGTAGTAGAGAGAGATTGAAAGATGATAAAACTGAGAACAATTATAAATTTCATCATATTTTTAGTATCACAGAGCACTACAGAAATTTCTCATCTCTCTCTCTCTCATACACACACACACACACACACACACACACAGAAAATCAAGTCTTTCTAACTATAAAAGATAAGCCTCATTTAAGATTTCAGTTTCCCTTACTAATGCTTCCCCACTCCCCAGGGACTGAACTCAGGACGTTGTGCCTGTTAGATAGATGCTTAAGCTGCTGAGCTATCTCCCTGGCCCCTTATTAATGTTCTTTGAAGCATCTGAAGCTTGGAGCAATGGGGATTGATAACTTTTTGAGCCCCAATCACTGGGTCTTCTAGGTGCCTGGGAGAGACTTATTTTGGGATTTGAATCTAAGTCTACTTATACAAAGTACTAATTCAACCTCAAGGCTGAACTGTAAATTCTATGCAATTTTCAAACAGTTCTTGACTTTTTATTAGGAACCCAAGAGTCTCACCAGTTCTTAAGGTGATTAAGAGTGCAGATTCTAGAACTAGATAAAAATAAGCTTCCCATCCAGTTTTGCTGTGTAACTAAGAGTACAAATTATATAGCTTTGTTAAGATTCCATTTCTTCACCTCTAATATAGGGATAACTATACCTATCGCAAAGGATTACTGTCATGTTGAAGTAAGATAATACACTGAGGATGTACAATAAATATTTGAAGAAAATCAGCAACTATTATTCATAACAGTATTACATATTCACCCTTTAAGATTTCTATTTTAGTAAAACAATGATGGCTCAGTTTGAAACAGGTTTGGTTTTGCCTGGAACCCGGGTCACTATTTGCAAACAACTATGAAACTTAGGATTTCTTTTTAGGTTAGTAGGTCAAATCAATTATAAGAAAACTGAGGAATTATACTTTTCTAGGAAGAAATCAGGATTGTATTTCCAATTCTGCTTCAGTCCTTTCTGATCCTGCAATATCTTACACAGTTTCTATTCTGTCCATCTTAACATTTCTGTCCCAGCTTTAACCATCCTGGTTCCTGATATGTTGGCAGTATGGTGGGAAACAATGACACTAAAAGTACTTATGAACTCACTAGAGTGCTGCACATGGTGATCACTTGCTGTAAACATTTTCTATAAGTATTTAGAGATTATTAATAATCACGTTGATAACACTTTCATTTTCAAAACAGTAATTATTACATTACTAGTAAAATATCAGCTCCTATCCCACCAACCTAAGGCTACAAAAAAGCATTAGTAAAGGCAACTGTTTTGGTTACCATCTTCATCATTGGATATGGTGACGGTGGCCAGGCTATTCTTTCCAACTCTTGCTCCACTCCAGTGGTTTCCACGAGGGTGGCCAAGGTGGATCCTGAACTGCTCCTCAGGCTCAAACATAGAGTCGTCATGGACATAGACAGTGCAGTTCTTCACCTAGAGTCAATGGCACAAGGGAGACTCTTTGAAGCAAGAGGTCAGCAACTTGCTTGAATTCACTACAAAGTTACTTTTCTTCTTTGCAGCAACCAAAGAACTAACATAAATCTGAAAGAGCCAAGCCAGTTCTATTCACAAAAGAAAACGTTTAACCATCTATGTCAGGCATGGGGATGGAGCACACCTATGATCCCAGGACTCAGAAGTCTACAGTGGGAAGGCTGCTGTGAGACCTATGTAAACCTGGACTGCAAAGAGAGACCTTGTTTAAAAAATAAAACAAAAAACAAAACAAAAAACCCCCCTAAAATCTAATGGTTCATGTTTGAATAGGATCTACCTAGATGACAAGAGTTAGACTGTAAGAATATTCCAAATCATTTTGAATTATTAATGATTAGTTATGAAAAACAAAATCAGTAGAAACCAAGTAACCCACTAGAATCTCCTGCAGAGGACCTGTGTGCTTTCCCATGCATTACCAGCTCTGCAGGACACCTTTGCCCACACTGCAAAGGTAGGTTTCAAATGACAGAGTTCAGTGTGTGCTAGACTTCCTGGACAGCTGGGGAACATTGCTTTTGATTTGTAAACATTGAATTAATTTCATAAGGAACAGAGAAAGCCTTTGAGTTTTGTGTCAGATACTTTTTCATGATAAAAAAAAATCTCTCAAATCTGCTGCCAAATAGAATCTCATCTGAAAACTGCTGAGGACTAAAAGCCTGAGAACACAACCCAAATCCCTATTTGTTGGAAAGAAATTGAGTGTTTTGCAAACCAAGGATTCTCTACTGAGGGTTGTATTTTAAGAAGAGGCAAGATGGAGTCAAAATATTTTAGATACACAGCAGTCTCAATAGTAGAGTTGTGTGATAGGGAGTGGGATATTTTTAGTTGCAGCAATTTAAATCCACTATGCTACTCTACTGAAGGGATACGTGGGCAGAAAGAAGCACTACATGTGTGCTTCCTAAGTCATTCTAAATAGCAAGCAGACTTCACAGTGAATATTTAGATTTATCTTGCTGCCCTATTTTTGAGTCCTTGAAGAATCTTCTCTTTTTTCTTACAACATCTTTTCAATAACAAGAATTCTTTATGGAATGCATGAATTTAGTCAGAACTCTTGAGATTCTTTTTTTTTTTTAATTTTTTTTTAAGATCTATTAGTAATTAATAAGTTTCAAAGACATGCTTAGCAAAGGGCCGGCCAATCAGCTCAGCAGATTAAAGCACCTGCATGCAGGTGCAGGGGACAGGGGATTCGACCCTTGGGCCTGCCATGCCAGCCCTGCCCCTGAGGCACACAGAGATAGGGATTGAGACTGGGCGTGGTGGCACACGCCTGTAATCTCAGCACTTGGGAGACTGTGAACGGGAGAATCACTATGAGTCTGATCTAGTAGTGAGACCCTGAATACCCTGTAGACCATTCCCTAAAATACAGGAAAAAGAAAAAAAAAGAAGACATGCTTAGCAAACCAAAGAAAATGGAGATTTCAAATTGTGCTCACAAATAATGATAGATTTTCATGTGGGTAACATAAACTTATAGACTGGTAAGCTATATTTTCTATTTTTGATAAAAACTATTTCTTAATAGGAAGAGAATCCTCTTTCAAACTAAAAACAAATATAGACATGCAGACACAAAACTAAAGACTATACCTGTACTACTTGTATGGTTTTTAACATGTTCCAGCCTGCCACTAGTAAAATCTCAATAAAATATATTAATAGGGCAGCCTCTGTTAGCCATGACGCATGAGAGTGCCAAAGACTCTCATGAGAGTCTATGATGATAGAATGCTATCATTCTTTTTTAAAGAGAAAAAAAAAAAAGACACAGAATTTCCAAAGATAGGAAATCAACAATGGTTATTGTACTGCACATTGTCATCTTCAAAATAATTGCTCTGGATCACCAGATAGAAGTATGCAAAACTGATTGAACAATATAAGAACTGTTCCTTTCAATGATTAGAAATTAGCAATACAATTATCTTAGCCATCTTCTGTATATGTATATATTTTCCTTCCTTCTTTTCTCCTTTTCTCCATCCCAGTTGTTCTTTCCTTTTGAGTATTATTTTCAGTAATAAAAATGAACAAAGGGCAAATTTGTAGTGCTCTGTAATGGGTAAGGTCAAAATGTTAAGCTTCTCAAATGCCCATTAAGGGAAAAAACTTTGATAAATCTGTGTTAAAACTGAAGGCTTTTGTTCAAATAAGACCATGGTTAAAGGGAATAGATAAGTCACAGGTTTTGCCCCTGAGCACATATATTTGAAGATGTCTTATTCAGGTCTATGATTAGACATGTCTGAAGGTGAGCAGTGAGGCACTGTTTGTGGTGACACAGGGTCAGGGAGTTCCTGGGGCAATCGCTGATGTTCTTCATGGTCTACTGCTGGGGTACATGAATGAAATATAGCAGATTCATACCATGAAGTACATGCAACAGCCAGAAACAGAAATTTAGGTGTGTGAGGTGAATAAAAATATTGCAAATACTAAAAAAAATTGTAAAATTTATTATAGTAAAAGACACACTGCGATTAATTCCCCTCGAAATACTCCCACTTGTTTGAAATACTGCCCATCATCTTGCTATCTGTGAAACAGTTCTGGAAGTTCTCCTTTGTAAAAGGTGAAGATTTATGCAATCTGAAGAGAAACCAGAGCCCTGGAAGTCCTGTTTTGTGAGTATCTTTAGTTGCTCTGTTGTGGCTGCCTCTATGTCCTGAATTGATTCCAACATTTACATTCCATGGTTCTTTTGACTTTGGGGAAGCATTAGAAGGTATACAACACTAGATTTGGTGAATAAGATGGATGAGAACACACCATAAGGTTTTTATGAGTCTGCTTTCCTTTGGATGCCATTTGCCACTGGCATTCACGGTATTTCTGATCACACTTCATAAAGACACTAATGAAAAAGCACATCCAGAACTGCTTAAGAAAGCGTTAAGAAGATCGCTTCTTGGCCTTTTGGCTAAGATCAAGTGTAGAAAATGGTAAGAATACGTAAGTGCTTGAGGGAGGGAGGTATTTTGTGGGGCTCAATGGCAATGTGTCTTACTATAATAACTTCTAGATGTAAATATACACTATTATAGTTTAATTATCCTTTGTACACACAGAACTTAAAACATAATACTGAGTAAACACAGTAAAAGATGGAAACATTTATAACACATTAACATTTTTTACCACTTAAAGATCATACACATAAAACAAGCATTTTTTTAAAGAACAAATACAAACCAAGAGACACACATTAGATACAGAGCTTGATGGGTGGGGCAGGGAATGCAGCTGGAGGATGGGAGTAAGAGTGACATGATTATCAGTGAGCCTAAGGCAGGCAGACTCGGACATGCAGAGTGGATGATTAAAGCAACAGGTGCAATCGACTCGATCATCTGAAACTCAGAGTCAAAGGAGGGCCTGGGATTCTCTACTGTTGATACCCTTGGCCTTCGCTGAGGCTGCAAGCTTAGGTTCTGAGGCCACCATATTTAGGGACAAGGAGTTCCTCTGCAATGTGTGTGGCTTCTCGCATACATGGCCAAGAGGACACTCTGGACCTGACTGTGTCCCCCACCTGCCTTTCTGGTCCAGCACCAGAACACACGGTTCTCTGGGAGAGGGGCCCAGGTATCAGAGAAGGGCCTCTTCTTCTCCGGTTAGTAACATCAGTGGGATCTCTTCATCTGTAACAGTTCCAGACTGAGGGGAGGCCACAGTAGATTCTGTTAAGTCCCAAAATATTGCATATCATCTGAACTTCTCAGCTCAGTCAATGAATTGTGTATTTTGTTGAGAGTGGGAGATAAGACAACAAAATGGAATAGATGATATTATGAAGAATATTATCAATTAATAAGGAAATTCCAAAGAAGTTCCAAGTTTGTTTTTTTACTTGATTTTTAAATTTTGTGCAGTATTGGAATTTTAGCCCAGGGACTTTGCACTCAACTACTTCCCTTAGTCCTTTATTTTTTTCATTTTTGTTTTACTTATTTTGAGATAGGGTCTCACTAGGTCACTTTGGGGCTTGTGTCTAGATGTCCCCCAAAGCCTCATGTAGTCACAGGTGTGGCTCTTCAGAGGTGGCTGGATCTAGAGTGTATGATGCTGGGATTGGTTCATGGCGCAATGCTGGGGCTGTGTGCTTACTAAATCAGTCCACTGACTGGGTTGGCATGTTCTGGGTGTGAGTGCTCCCTGTCCTAAGTGTGGAGAACAGGCAGCCTACATAGAAAAAGAAGGGACAGAAAGGGGCTTGTCCCTGGTCCCTTGGACTTGTCATTTGCTTGCTTCGGCTGTCTCCTGCTTTAGCATGAATGATTTCTCCTGTGTAGTGCCCCTCTACCATGCTACCCTGCCGTGGAGTCAGCAGACTATGAACTGAAACCTCTATGAACTGTGAGCCAAATAAACCTTTCCTCCTTAACTTTGGATGTCAGGGATGTTGTCTTAGCAATGAAAAAAGTAGCCAAGACAGTCACTAGGTTGCCCTGGTTGTATACAAACTGTTGTCCTCCTGTGTCAGTCTCCCAGAGTACTGGAATGGCAGCTGCGTGCCATCACACCTAGCAGTTTGTTGAATTTATTTTACTATGGACAAATACAGGGTGACAAGGAAGGAGAGAATCCCCTCTTTCAGCCCCCACAAGTCCACTTACTTTCTCCCCTTTCAGAAACATAATCCGTGAAGAGTCCGCATTTCTCCTCTCCTCGAAGTCCTCCGTGGCCCGGGCCGAGTGGCTCTGTGTATAGCACCTCACAGAGGACTCATAGCTTAAGTCCCCGCTCCGGATGATAGGAACGTGTAGGATGCCTTCCTTCTCCTTCACGAGGAGCAGATCCTTGGCAAACTGCATACTTGGCACTGCTCAAACAGACAGAGAGGTGGGGCACCATGAGAGCCAGCAGGCACGAGGGCCACAGCAGAGCCCCCTAATGGCCAACGTGGGCTGACAAGTCCCAGATGTGACATGGATTTCAAGGTGTGGTCATTGTTCCCAGGATGGGAAACTGCTCTCATTCTGAGGATGATTCTGATAAAACAGAATCAATCACCTTTCACCTGCCTGCTTAGCTTGCACCCATCAGCCCACGCAGCCAGAGAATCCAGGTGAAGGAATGGAACAGGCTTAAGAAAAACTGTGACCATGACCTGAGTACTCAAAAGGGCTCGCTTTCCTCAAGAGGCCACAGGCAGAAGGACAACAGCATGTCTGGTGACAAATGGCCACTCGAGTTGGTTCTCGGGTACAGAGGGATGGGGTAGGGGCATCAATAGGGAAGAGAGCAGCTCTGCTGAAGGGGCTCCTGGCTTTGGCCTCCAGATCTCACTTTCAAGTGAAACCAGAGATCTGGATATTTTTCCTTGAGGTTTTCTACTAAATTTAAAACTAGCAACACAAAAAGTTAAAGAGAAGCTGTACATGGACCAGGATTATTTGGGTCTAACAAGCCCACCCACAGGCTGACTGGCCAGAGGGCCTCTGGCCTGTGACCTTGGCTACAGAATTACCTCTTCTTTTACAATTTATGGCTTTATTCCACTTGAGGAAGGCATCATGGCCAAACTATAGGTAAAGGCAAGTCCTTTGGAGTAAACAGGCCTGAATTTCTGTCCCTATTACTTACTAACTATAGAGGACAAAGGACAAATGGCTGATATTGGGGCCGGGGAGATAGTTTGGCAGTCTAAGCACCTCCCTGGCAAGTGCAAGGACCCAGGTTTGATCCCCAGGACCACATGCTGTGCCAGTCTTGTGCCGAGTTAGCCACCAAAACTGGGCATGGTGGTGCATACTTGTAATACCAGTGCTGGGGAGGCTGAGACAGGAGAATCACTATAAGTCCAAGCTGTGTAGTGAAACTCTGTACAAAATAAATAAAAATATTTTAAAAATTGCTGACGTTTTCTCTACTTGGGCTTTTCCCACATATCAACTGAAGGTTATTAGTGTCTGAGAGCATTATTGAGAGATTTGGATAGAATGAGATAATATACTCACGTGTTACCCTCAGTACAGTATCTGGTTTATAGAAGGTGCTTTCAAATTTTAGTGGGAATTAATATATTATGTTTTATACTTGGCCCCCTAGCTTCAGGCCTCTCAGTATGAAGCATTCTTTTTTTCTCTTTACTTCCTACAGTTATGCTCTGTATGCTACTGTTATACTCTGCAAGAAGATTTTCTTTCAGGCCCAACATTTTGTAGACTGCTGATTGTGATTTTTTTCATGAACAATGAAAAAAGACATATATCAAAGCTTCCTGAGGGGGAATTAGCCTTTAGAGCCACAGGAAAGCAGCCCTAGAGCCGTAAGCGCCTATTTCCTGACCGCCTTCTGGACGTGCCCAGCCAAACCTGAAAGGAAGGAACAGGAAGGGATATGGGAGCTGCGTTTTGCTCTGCAATTGCAAAGGCAGGGAGCTCTGGTGGCTGTCACTGTCTCTGCTCAGAACTGTGGGCTCCAGCAAACATAAAGCCACCCTGTCTCCTGAACTAAGCCCACCGGTTACCAGGCATGCTTAAAAGGACAGAAGACACTCTTAAAGGATCACTGCTCCTAAACGAAAACAATGACTTTGGTACAAAGGCCTGTATGTTCATCAGGTACAATGGTCCGTTATCTCTGCAGAGACAGAGACCACTGCAGAGATAACAGACCATGGCACAGGAGGGCCACCTTAAAATGTAGGTGGCAGGGACATCACCCAGCACTTCTCTTAGTGTGGCAATACTTAGGTTTCCTCATGCATTAGTCAACCCCAAATTCCTCTTGAGTTATAAAAGACACCCGTTTCCTCCTCTTTAACAAGACATTCACTCTAACTTCTATTCTTTTACTGCAGGGAGGAGGAGGGGAGAGAATGAGAATGAATGGATGAATACAGGACAACAGGGTGAGCGTGGGGCCAGATCTCTGCACATCGTGTTGTGGTGTAGGTCAGGTACTGTGCTGAGGCTTTCCCATGGGTTAATGTCATTTCTCAACCCTACAGGGCAGTACAATTTCCAGGAAGAGGTAGCACTTGCTGCAGAGCCCCTCTCTTTCCACACTGATGGAGTACCTGTAGGTACAAAACAGCCCTCCACCCTGAAGGTGCATGGGCTTGCACTGGGCATAACGCGCTTGCTACCAGCACTCCCAGGCACCGTTACAGTACAGGGCCATATCACAGCAGCCTCTTGATTTGTGTCTTTCATTCAGAAACAGACAGGGGACTCTGCTCTCCAGTACTCTGTGACTCACCTATGCTGAGCATCAATTTTAGGCGTGGAAAATGTTCCATAAGCACTGTAACCCTGCTAACCTTCTTTGTAAAGGACAAAGTGGATCTAAATACTGCTGTGTGGAATGATGGGCTCCTCACAGGCAATGGATACGGCAGGGGTTTAGAGCAGTGGTTCTAACAAGTGGGGGGTCGCTTTCACATACAGAGGAGGACAGTGCTCGATTGGCTATGTGGGCTTATTTGACCTGTTCAGTTAGAATTGCTCATGCCAGTGACAGGGTCTAATTCCAAGTACCAGAGCAGAGGAGGGAGGTGAAAACCTAGAATATATTCTGAGATGAACTACTTAGATCATTTCAGGGCCCAAAATCAGCCACACAGAAAACATGGAAGGACCTAACTTTAGGTCAAAAGGCTGCAAGTTCACTTTTTATGTGAACTTGAGTGATGGATAACATTGGACCTAATCCAAAAAATGGGCACTTGAGATGAATACACAATTCTCAGAGGAAGAAATACAAATGGCAAATAAATACATGAAAAAGTGTTCCACAGTACTGGCCATTTGAGAAATGCAAATTAAACCACTGAGATACCATCTCACCCCAGAAAGAATGGCTATCTTAAAGAAATCAACTGATAACAAATGCTGAAGAGGCTGTGGTGAAAAAGGAACCTTTCTCCACTGTTGGTGAGAGTGTAAACTGATACAACCACTATGGAAATCAGTGTGGAGACTCCTCAAAACACTAGGACTGGAAATCCCATTCAACCAGCTATTTCCCTTCTGGTTATCCTCCCAAAAGAACATGTTCACCCATGTTTATAGCAGCATAATTTGCCATAGCCAAAGTTTGGAAACAACCCAAATGTCCATCACCTCAGGAATGGATAAAAAAGATGTGGCATTTTTATACAACAGAGTAGTACTCAGCCACAAAGAAAGAGAAACTCAAAGCCTTTATAAGTCAGTGGATGCAACTAGAGGCTGTACTCATAAGTGAAATAAATCAGGCCCACATGTGTAAATCTCGTATTGTCTCCCTAGTGTAAGAACCTGAAATAATAAATAAAACCTGAAAGGAATAATAGAGTAAAACAGAAAGAAACTGAACTTAACATAGGAAAATAGAGGATAAAATCATGCAAGTATATATATTGTACTAATAATTTCCATCAGTTTTTTGAAAATAGCAGTTAATAGGTAGAATTTTCACCTTGACTAACTATATGTTGATATCTGTGATCTAAGCAACTCCATCGAGAACAGCAATGTGTAATACAAAAATCATGCTCGAATACCTGACATCTTGGTCTTCTAAATGTGTACTGTTTCTAATGTCTTACCGATTATTATTATACTCCTGTTAAAATAAATTTTTAAAAAAGTAAAAAAAAAAAACAAAGACAAAAATTTTGCTAGTCTTCTTTTGAAAATCTATAACATGTATTGCTGTACATTACCGTGTTTCTGTGTTTGTATCTGGTATTTGTTTTTGCTTTCATTTTTACTCTTCAAAATAAAATAAAATAAAAACAAAAATCAGTACAAAACCCAAACACTGCTTTCTAGAGGGCAGTGGCCAGCTGAAGACACAACACAGTCAGCGCGCTCGGATGGGAAAGCAGCAGGCTGGACACACACGGGAGAGAGCCACATTCTAACGCTGACTCCTTGACCTCCCTGTCCTTGAATCACACACAAATCATTCAGTGTCAGTGTCACAAGTTGGAGAACTAGTGTGAGGATCTGGGGTGATGCCTGCCAGAGCGTCCCACCCTAGAATCTCAGGAAATGGACTCCACAAAAGCAGGCCATTCTCTGGAAGAGGCACAACCAACAGAATCAAGCACTGACTACTATGATGGGTTCCTAAATTTCTTTCCCTGGGCTAAATTCTTGACTGGAAATATGTTGTAACTTTCCCAAAAGATGAGAAATATTTTGTTTAATATATTTGTTTTCCAAGTTTGTAGCCCAAGTGCCCATTTAGTGTTAATAAGTAGGGATACCCCATCACATAAAATGAGGAAATGTACTGAGAATAATAAAATAAAATACTGAGAAAAATTTGAAGAGTATCTTCTCTTTTGAACAGAGGGCAATGAGGAATGTATGCATTCCTGAAAATGCACGGCTTAGCATCACAAATTACAGATATGTTAGGAAGAAAATAAATTAATGAGCAATAAAATCTACTGTGTACCAGAGACTATAGTAAGTATTTTCACATATACTATTTAACTTAATCCATACAACAGTCTTGTAAAGTAGGTATTTTCATTAAGTAGAGATGAACAACATGGGGCTTAGTCACTTTTAACCTAAAGCTGAAGAACTGTGATGTGTGGGAAAGTGGTTACATTTTAGGACATCCAATGTCACACTCACTTGCTAGTTTATCAAAAGGGAAGTCACTATCCTTTCATATAAAAAGATCAACTAATTTCTTTGATGTTTTTCTTCTCTTTTCTTTTTTTTTTTTTTTTTTTTTTGCAAAAGAAAGAAGCATCCCATGGTGTGTACTACCATATCAGCAAAATGCAAAAAGAATGCAATTAAGAATGCACTTCAGAGCCTTGGAATCGTGCATATCCCCTGGACTTCGGCTAAGTGCATTCACTTCCATCCTCAGTTTCCCTGTCTACAAAAACACAAGTAAAAGCAGAGAAAGTTTAGAGGATAATCTGGACACTCTTGTGATACAAAATACTATACTGTTATGATTTACTCCATTAAAGTCATCATATTGTGAATTTTTTACAAACTTAAGTGTAAAACTTAAGACTATAAAACTCCGGGAAGGAAACAGAAAGCCTGGGTAACCTTGGGTTAGAAACAGTTTCTTAGCTACAACACAAAAAAGTGTGATTGCGCATAGAAGGAGTGATTAAGTGAGACCGCTTCAAAATGAAAAGACACTGTGCTTTGAAAAACATTGTTAAAAGGAATAAAAAGACAGCAGTGGACTATGGTAATATATTTGTAACACACAAATCCTTGACAGAATGTACAACAAAAGCGAGAGGAAAAAGATTTAATTAAAAATGGGGACACATTTGAATAATTACCAAAAAGATAAATGGATGGCAAAAGTAAATGAAAATATCTCAGAATCTTTTTTGGGGAAAGCATGTCATTGTATCCCTACCAGAATATCTTCCAAAAATCACAAAAATCTCATGGTATCAAACATACACTTACTATACGATCAAGCAACCCTACTTGTTAAACATTTACCTCAAGTGAAATGACTAACTATATATACTGCACAAAAACCTATATGGAAATGTTATAGGTGCTCTAGTCAGTTACCATGCCCAAACCATGAAAGAACCAAAATGTCATTAAATCGGTGACATTCACACAGTGAAAACTCCTCAGCAACAGATGGGATGAATTATCCAAAATAAGATGCTTGTGTCCACATACACACACACATAGGTATGGACACAGATATATACAAATGTGCTTTTTCTCCTGAAGAACACATGCTTGAACATATACCTGTACACATATATGTGCATGTGTGCACATACACACACACACACCATACCACACATTATATGATTCCACTTATGTGATGTTTTACAAAAAGCAAAACTTCAGAGATAGAAAATAGACACATGGTTCTAGGGCTTGGGTTTGGAGAGTTTGACTCCAAATAGTTATGATAGAAGCTAAAGGCTGTTTTAAGTGTTCAACATCTTTCTTGTAGTGCAGAGCACATCACTGTATATATCTTTCAAAACTCAGAGAACCACTCATGTAGGAAGGAGACCTTTCATTTACATGTTATGCCTCAGTTAACCTGGATCCAAAATAGGATGCATGTGTCCACGTATATACACACATGTATGGACACATATATATGAATGTGTTTTTTCTCCTGAAGAACACATCTATGAACATGCACCTGTGCACATATGTGCGTGCATGCATGCGTGCACACACACTAAATAAAATGGTTATTTCTAGTACGGTGGCCCCAGGGATTAGGAGAGAAGGCTAGGAAGACCACATTACTTTTTCTTTTGGCCATCTGTATTTCTTACTACTACACAGATGTCACGAATTACTTAGACATGGGACTAAATAAAGACATTAAATACTTTTGTGCTGGGCTGTTTCTCTTGGGATTTTTAGCCCCCACAAGCTGAGTCATGAGGTTATGAGGCCAGCTGCTGAGATTGTTGGGGAAAGTCCTTTGCCTCAGGTGGGAAATATGGCTCCATTTTCTCCACCCAGTTCTGGAATCTACAAAGTGCATTCTAAAAGTCGGACAATTCTAGTTTCAATCCACTCTTCCTAGGAAGTGACAGTCTTTCCCTATCCATCCGAGTTCCTTAAGTCCTATTTTCGGCAGTGACTGAGTACTATTCTTCTGCAGAGCTCCATTCATTCCTGCATATCATCTTCAATGCTGCCAATATTAGTTTCTTGAAACAAAACTCACATCGCTCCCCTCCTTAGACGCATGCATGGCTTCCCTTTGTTTATGAAGCCTTTTGGCTAGAACAGAAGGTCTCCTAGGCCCTGACTCCAACTGTCTTCTTGTTGTAATTCTTTATTTATCTCCTTCAATACTCAAAGCAAAAGTAAGCCTTCTGCTGTTTCCCAGATATGCAAATTTCAATATTTTATATTTTGTATATATCTTTGCATTCGAAATAAGTTTTGTTTACCATTAGCCAAAATACTATCATTTCTGAATATTTTGTTTACTGAAGTCTAGGGTCAAGTCACAGCATTACTCTTCAGTTTTCTCTGCTCCCATAGAACTAGATGTACAGCAACAGCACTCATTTATCAGAATATACTCTCATTTTCTGTTTAAGGGTAGGACTTCCCAACCAGACACTGAGCTTCAATACTTACATATTTCTTTCTGAAATATATGGTAGAACATCATCACCATGAACAGTTGTCTCCCCCCCACCACATGCATGGATGTACGCAAACATGTATTTATTGGGTGAAAATATAGAACAGTCAATGTCACATGCATAGACAGTACAGAAAAACAGAAACAGATTTTTGAGCTGACATCCTTAATCTCTTACCATCTTGGAATGTGTCATTAATTGCAATGACAGCCTGGGAGGGTCTGGACAGTTCGGCCCCTTGTGCTGAGCTGAGGAAAACCACGAACGTCTCTAATCCTTCAATGACTGGATATTGAGTGTCATCCAAGATAGTCAGGGTGCAGTACTGGGGAAGAAATCAAAGCATACTTCATGGAGGGCCAACTACCCAACAGTCACTTGCTTTAGGGACATGAGGACACAGCTGGCAGCTTATCTTTTGTTGGTTGTCTGAAGGCAAGTGTTTTTTAGATTCATAAAATAATTTGTCATATATTTTAGGAATTTCTAGGTATTTACATAAAATACGTGTAATTTTTATTCTACGGCTATGCTATTGGGTATCTGATGCTAAAAAGGCCCCTTGGAGAGTTTTAAGGAAATGCCCTTTCATTTGTGTACTTACGTTTTACAGAAAGTACAGATAGCAGGCAAGCTGACCCAAGACCACACTAAGAGAACCATTAACTCATGACTCTGCGGTGCTTTGGTTGCTGTAGACTCACCTGCTCCGTCACACCTGGCCCAAATTCCACCTTCCTGGAGCTGGGGACATAGTCAACTCCTGGAGTAGCAGAAGCTGGGTCAGAGGGCCGTGTGGCACACCAGACAGAGGTGAAAGTAGAGAGATCTGTGCCATGGCGGGTGACTGGAATCTTCACTGTGCCTGCAGGTGAACAGGAAGGGCTTGAATGGCCAGAAAATCAGTGGGGTTTCTGGAACACTGTTCTCGCCGCAGTAGCTGCGACTTTACCCCACTCAGTTTACTTGGTCCAACTCAGTGGGGTGTCCTGAACCTCTCTGAGCACTGAGAGCTGTCACTGAGCCTCTTGTCCCTGACACTGGGAAGACATGTAGAGGAGAGCCTCATGTAGGTGGTCCTGCAGGGACAGCCCTTCGGGGAGAGCTGTCTTAACAATGCACAGGAGGGGAGAGGCGCACACTGAGAAACAGCTCAAGCCTCTTTCAGGAGAAGAAACTCAGAGACGAGATCTTCAGCTGGAAAATAGTCAGTAAACATCTAGGAGACTACAGGGCCTGGGGTTGAATGTTCCTAATTAAATGTTTTAGCTGGGTTGATTTTCCTATTTCATCCAAGTGATGCACACATCATTACTTAAACCATATTCAGCATGGTTATCGCTTATCTTAGGAATGAGGCTCATCTTCTGGTCTACTGTGACAACACACTTTGTAATATCCTAAAGATATTTAGCTACTTTCACAACAATAACAACCAAGTTCAGGGAAAAGCTGACAGGAAAACATCAGGGATCAGCACATTCTTGCAGCCTCGATGCTGGGAGGTGACGTGCAGGCATGGAAGGACATTTGGAGTATGGATAGGAAAGCATGGTGTAGCCAAGGGGCAGGGTTCTAAGGTACCTCTGCCACTGTGGGAGCTGCACGACCTCTGGTCATTTATCTGAACTCTCTGGTGGGCCCCAATCTGCTCTTCTGCACAGTTTCGTCTCTTTCACAGAAGATGTGGTAAGCATACATGAAACAGCAGGCATGGTTCCTGATCCAGGATACCTTCAAAATATTAGTTCCCACTATAGCTTAGAATCCTTTCAAAGAGGTGAAAGGCCTTGATCTGGCTTAGGTCAGCAAAGACTCAGCACCACCAGTATCCTTTGTGTCAACAGCTTACAGAGACTTTGAGACCCTAAAGTAGTCACAAGAAGGAAGGAACCTGGACTTTGACACACTGTATGGAAGAGATTTTGCCCATCAACTGCTTTGGGATAATACCTAAATGGGAACGTTCCACTGTGTTAAGACCCTGAGGCTTTGGGGCTTGTTTCAGTAGCTGGCAGGACACTAAAATGAGCTCCATCCTCAGCAGATCACATTCTCTTCATTCACAAACCCAAATGCTAAGCACCTTGTCCTTACTGTGGACCCCAGAGGTCAGTACAGGCAGGTCTAAGCCCAAACTCTCTATGCCATCAAGAAGTAGGGCAAGAGAAGTAGATGGAATTTTGTATTTTACTTCTTCCCTTTCCTGGTCTCGATGCCTAGCAATAAGTAATGCCTCAGACCAACGAGAGGTATCACTGAGGAACGGTATTTCATCATCTTGTAATGTAAGAAGAAAACTATTCAAAAAAGGGATCAAGAGATGGGAAATGGGTCTGCAGAGAGGCTGCACGTTACCTGCATCCTCACTGACAGTGAAAGCTGTGTTGCCCAGGGAGACAGTGGAGGCATCGTTGGGACCACTGATGAGTACTCTGGCTGCTGCCACCTGTCCAATGCGGGCATTGCCAGATGCATCAGCCAAGACAATTTCAAACTCCTCTTCCTCTTCATACTCGCTGTCATCAATAATCATGACATCGCAGGTGGACATGGTGACCCCAGGCCCAAGTATCACACGACTCTCAGCAGACATTCCTCTCGATTTAAAATCAGAGCCCGACTCCAGAGCATAGAGGCTGCTTCCCATAGCCGACTTAGGGATTGTGTAGCAAACTGCGGACACAATGCTGCTCGAATCTCCTGAAATACAAATGGCAAGAAATCCAGGCTATGTGAATGAGACATCGAATTCAACTTCTAGAATCTGTGTTAACTTAACAAGCTTGGCTCATGTTATTACTCTATCTCACAGTAATAGAACACATTCTATTATGTGGTACTCATTTCATTACTGTGTCTCTTCAAATTCTGACAGTAAACCTCTCTGAGTTGCAGTTTCTGTAAAGTTTGTGGTATAAACCACTTGGGAATTTAATATACCCCCGATCCTTCCCACAAATAACTTAAAATGGATTTCCTCTTCTGTGAATTTTGTGCTCTGTTAATTCCCAGGACTCATTGCCCACCACAGAAGACCACAGCGGGTGGAAAGATAAAAGACACACTCGGCACTTTAAGAAGTAAAGTAATTGTGTCCTGAAGGGAGTGCCAGAAGTACAGTTCACTGCCTTTCTGAATAAACTTCTGCACTTTAATTCCCCGAGAGAAAGAGCTTGCTTAAAAAAGAAAGACAAAACGAAACAAAACTTGCCTCTGTACAAATGACTTTACTTATTAGTTTTGCCGTCTCCTTTGGTGACAACCTGCCCTGGGCTGGCTTGGCGGCCCCCAGCAATCAATGGGGTTTGCTTGTTTGAAAGCAGTAACACCCAGAGTTTGTGTAATCTATAGTATTTGTTATACTGCTACCCAGTCAGCAGATTCAATAAAGAAACATGACATTGTCATTTACCGTCATGTTGCTTTGAGTGGGGATTTCATTTCTATGAGTTTTAAAGTCCCAATGTTACAAAATAATAAATTCATAATATCTTTGTCTTGCTTTTCAACCTCTCAAGAACTGCCCTTTATTTCTCATACACAGTTTATTTCTCATCTGATTTCTAAATATGATACAGGGACTGTAACATAGGGAAACCTTAAGGACATTTGCTATCTTTCATGAACTAAGGGTCTTATAATTATAACTACCCTCCTTGACCAAGGTTACTAAATGTTTTATGGATTGGGTGATGAAGAACATTGAGTTCATGAATAATTTGCAAGGCTAAATATAACCAGTCTTCTAGTCTAATTTCAGAATAAATGGATCTCTAACTAATGGTGGTTTTCTGATAGTACTCAATTCTGGGTGGAATTGTCATTAGGGTTGTTCTGTGGATTAAGTCAATAAATATTATATATATATATATATATATATATATATATATATATATTTGAATTGAGTTAATATGCTATAAAAGCACCGAGCACATAAAAGGGATCTCATGACTATTAGCTATTTTTACAGCTCTTGTCACCGTTGGCACCAACAGACCTTTTCTTTCAATAGGTGCAAATAGAAAGCCAGCACTCTCGTTGACCCGGTAGGTCTTCTTATCAAATTCTAAAGTAGGTTCATCCTCAGTGTCATTGATAATGACCTTCGCCTGGGTAAACTCCCCTAACAGGGCATATGCCGGCATGCTGAGCTCCACAGTGAAGCTTTCAACATTCTCAAACACATCATCATCATTGATGACAATGGTGCAGGACTTGGTGTCCTCTCGCTCATCAAACTGCACCTGTCACAAAGGAAAAAACAAGAGTTCATTTGTGCGTCAGGGGCCCCTGCCTGGCTTCCCAGAACACTATAAGGAAGAGCACAGTGGGTAGAGAATGAACTGACGTGGCTGTTTTTTTTTTCCTTTTGTATTTTTAGAGAAAGGTCAACAGGGTGTTCAGGGTCTCACTACTAGATTAGACTGTAGTGATCTGCCTGTTTACAGCCTCCCAAGAGCTGGGATTACAGGCAAGCACCACCATGCCCAGTCTCAATTGCTGTCTCAGCATGCCGGGGGGGGGGGGGACAGGGCCAGGAGGGCAGGCCTGGGGATTTAACATCCAGCCCCTGCACCTGCTTGCAGGTGCTTTAATCTGCTGAGCTATTTGGCTGGCCCTGGTTTTCTATTTCTGACTCTGCTGTGTTGCTGGGGACACCTGGGCACCATGTCCTGTTCTTATGTCTATTGGGGCTTATTTACCTTATAGGGACACAAAGGGCAGGGCCATCTCCCATTGGATGACTACAGACAAACATGTCACAACTCTTGAGGTCCTGTTCTATCAACTCACCTGGGAAGGCAAAAGTCATAATTGGGTTTTTTTTGGTGGAACTGGCGATTGAACTCAGATCCTTGTGCTTGCCGGGGAAGTGCTTATTCCACTAAGCCATCTCCCCAGCCCCAAAAGTCAGAATTTGATGACTCAGTTTTTCTTTTCATTAGGTGGGTTTAGTCAGAAAGATCTATGACCAAGGAGTATAAAGTTCTAGTCTCACGTTCTGATTCTCTTACTCTTCATCAGCTAAATAACAATAGTCTCATGTTTTTTATATTTATTGGAAGGATTAAAGAAAATCATAAACAGTGAAAGTGCTAAAATATTTTAAAATACTATAGTGCAGGATATTATTGTTATCCTGACCATATTACTTACATAATTACAGTGGACTGTATCTCATTGCACTGAATAATGGACTTTAAATTCCTGGAAAGATAAATCCTTTGCTATTAAACTGGGCTATAACTATAACATGAATAAATTTAGCTTGATACAATACAAATTATTTTATATTGTGAACTTAAAGGGAATTTTTCGGTATTACTTTGTCTAAAAAGGAAAGGAGGGGCTGGGAAGATAGTTCGGTGGTCTAAGCGCCTGCTTGGTAAGTGCAAGGACCTGAGTTTGATTCCTGGTACCGTATGCTGTGCTGGCCCCAGAACGCTGGGCATGCCATGCCGGCCACCAAAACCAGGTGTGGTGGTGCATGCCTATAATCCTAGCACTGGGGAGGCTGAGACAGAAGGATCACTACACGTTCGAACTGCATAGAGAGACCCTGTGCCAAATAAATAAATAAGTAAATAAATAAATAAAAGATCAAAAATAAATGAAAAGGAAAGGAATGGAGGGAGGAAGAAGCGTGTGAGGCTTCAATTAAAACTAAGCATACAGACTTGCTCTGAACTTACAAGGCAAGAAATGGGCAAAAGGATCTGGACTGCCCTTTGTGAAGTGAGACATCTGACACGAGGGTAAAAGCCATAACCCTTTTACAAATCTGAGAAACACATAACTTTAATCAAATAGAAAATTATTAGTACAGTTTCTAATCAGTTAATCAAATTATGCTTTTAATAGGCTTAGTATTTAAAAATATCTCCACAAAATTGATCTTTTAATAGACTTCTATTTAAGATCAAGAGCACATCGATAGCCCTTTGTCTTTCTTTGGAAAGCACAAGAGCATGTGCTATCTTATCTTTCTGCTGGAAGACTCGAGCTTGTCTGCTCTCTCCTGATTCCTCACTTACACTGGATACAAGATGCTTATTAACCTGGGCTTGCTGATTGCTGAAAAACTGAATTAAAGGATACTGCCCACTCTCATTTCTAGAAATTTATTTTGCTAAATACATAATGAAATTATTTTGAATATATACCTATTAAGTGTAAAACACTGTGTCCTACACATAGGTGACAAATAGTGTCCTTTAAAGCAGTGAGCTGGCTGGTGAGATGGCTCAGTGGTCTAAAGCACCTATTTAGAACAAGCTTAGCAAAGCACAGGGACCGCGGTTCAATCCCCCAGCACCACATGCCAGCCAGCCCTGCCCTCAGGCGGGCT